AAGCCCCAGATATTGATTTTTTCTTTGAACGCAGATCCAAGGCGCCTCCAGTAAGCAGAACTCTATGTAAGCTATGCAGGTATGTGGTCCTCAATAATTTTATACATTGTACTGACAAGGATTGTTATGTAGGGCGAATGGGATAGACTTGCGCCAGGGTGCAGGCAGCTTCTCAGCGAGCACCTCAAATGGTCCATTGCGCAACCACCTCCTAAGCCGCCACAAGGATCCATATCTCCAGAAGTGTCGCGAAATGAGATGGAAAGTCCCTGCACTCGCGAGCGAAACTGGAACAGCCCTGGCGCCCCATGGAACACAACGTCCACCATTTTCCCAAGAGGCATTGATACAGCATCTTCTGAATTTCATCGTTGCAGACGATCAGGTTGGTCAAGCACTTTTAATGTTTGGTATTAGTCTAACCTTCTTCGCAGTCTATAAATGTTGTTGAATGCCCAGAATTTCGACAGCTCCTCTTGCTTTTACGTGAGGACCTCGAGGACAAAGACATTCCCCGCCGAACGAAGATGCGCGAATCCATTATCAAGGCATGGCATGCATATTTCAAGGTCCTAAAACAGGAATTAGCGGTATGTTGTTTCAATTGACCGCTTTGTTTCCTTGTATTCACTGTTCACTCTAGGATGCACCAGGACGAATTTCCTACACGGCGGATATTTGGTCAACAAAAGCTCGGTACCCATACCTGGCCATTACCGCACATTGGATACATAGAGACAAGTCTACCAAGGGTCTTCAGCTGTGTTCTACACTCATTGCATTTCACCGTCTTCGAGGAAGCCACAACAGGAAGAGGCTAGCAAGAATTGTCCTCCATCTCTTGGACCGAGTTGGGATTACAGTCAAAGCATGTCTAAGTTTCATTTTCTTTCCCTTTTCTACTTTATGCTTACATGCACAGGGAGGCCATTGGACTCTTGATAACTGCTCGCTCAACGATGCTTTCCTCAGAGAACTCGAGTTACTTCTACGCCCTCGCGACGTTGAATTTAATCACAAGGAGAATCATATAAGATGCTTCCCACACGTTACCAACATATGTTCGAATCACGTCATTGATGCATTTACTGATATCAGCCTGGTAGATGATACAGGGGGATTTGTCGCATCCGCATCAGGCCCTCCAAGCGATCCCGATAATCAGAGCTACGAAGAAGCGGTTGCTCGCGACCCAATTGCATTGTGCCGAAGTACTGTACGAGCAGTACGCGCCTCAGGTCAACGACGTGACCACCTGGCAGAAGTAATAGAGGATGGAAACAAGAAAGGGTGGTTCAAGTCAACCGGGGATCCGACCATGACTATACAGGTCAAGCAGGCACAACTTATACGTGATATGAAGGTTCGGTGGGACTCTCTTTATTTCATGATCAATCGGTTTCGTAAACTACGCCCGGTATGTTTGAACTTCATCATTCTATCAGTGTATACTTATAAAAATAGGCCGTCGAGTACTTTCTTTCTTTGCCCGTCAATAGAGAGCTTGCGAAACTTAGACTTACTGATATGGAATGGACTGTACTCCAGGATTTTGAGATCGTACTGGGTGTACGTCTCTAATATTGATACCTGTTTGAGGCTAAATCTTTTTCTTAGGTACCTCATCAAGTGCAGAAAATCATGTCGAAAGAGCGCACTCCTGTTTTATCAGGCGCAATTCCTGCGTTCGAAATGTTCATGACGGCATGGGAGCAACTTGGGACAGCACACCCCCGCTTGGCCCGATGGACAGATATCGGTATCGACTGGGCGACAACTTACTACAAGAAAATGGATGATTCGCCTGCCTACGTTATTGCGATGTGTGAGTTAAGGTTCAAATTCATAGATCATTCAATAACTTGACATCATCAGTTCTCAATCCCTCAATACAATTGTCATGGATTCGACGACACTGGGAGCCTAATTACGTTGCCAGGGCCACCGTAATTATAAAAAATACTGTAAGTGTCTCATTTTGTTACGGTGACAGTAACCTAATATACTTGTTCCAGATGCGAAAATACCATGACCGTCTTCATGGACAAGTTCAACAACCTACACCTGGTACAGCAGCCTTGCAGCAAGAGAGGCGAAGCTGGCATGATTTAGCTGGACAATACGGGCTCGAAGATATGATGGACGTTACAGGTGCTTCTTCGCAGCAGGTCCAAGGCGTTGAAGAACAATTTGAGTTGTACGAAAATGGGCTGCTCTCACCGCGTGGCACAGATATTGTAGGGTTTTGGGCGGTAAGTATAGTCTCTCACTATTTTCTAATTTGCCCCACTGATTTTTTTGTAGATAAGTGATAAAACTCATCCAACATTGTACGCGATGGCATTAGATTATTTGCCCATTCAAGCATCCTCGGTTCCTTCCGAGCGCGTTTTTTCATCCAGTGCCGAAACTGATACAAAGCGGCGAAATCAAATCCACCCTGTTCTAATGGAGGCACTTCAAATGTTAAAGTTTTCGCTCAAGCAGCAACGGCTAAACTTTACGGAGGGATGGGCTGTCACAGAAGACGAACTCGAGTACTACGCAGATGACAACGAAGATTCAGTGGATTTGTTAGGGAAGCTAACTTCAGAAATTACGGAGGATGGTATAGATATTGATGAGGTAATTCACGTTATTGGACAGGATGACAAGGATTGATAGCTTGTTCAATATATTTTACTTATCACAAAATGCATTTGTCTCAAATTCTATTACAAATTTAACCTCATTCTACTTAACACGCGAGTCATCAATTGCGGCAATCATTTACCGGCTATAACCGGTTCAAAGCCACCGACTAAGCCGAGCCGAACCGGACTTGATCAGCTTTCGAGTGATCCACAAACCGGAACCGGCAAAAGCCGCCGGTTCAGCGAGCCGGCTTGCGGCTAGCCGAGCCGCAGCAACACTAGTCCAGTCCAGTTGCAGTCTTTTTGCAGTCTTGGGACTGGACTTCCAAGCACTAGACAACAATACCCAGATGAACAACAATAATGATGCACAGGTGGGCAATGATGATGTTGATGACAACCTGGCATGTCAACAGATGGTAAAGGTAGATGTGGATATACCCACAGTTACCTGTGCACATCACTACCAAGTTGTGTACACTGACTTTGTACATTAAAATACTTATAATATTATTGTTTCATGGCTACCTGACCTCTACAAAGACCAGTTTTAACTGGTCTTGTAACTGCAAAAGACTGGTCTGTTGTGGTTCGGTCCAGTTTTTTTGAAGTTTCTGGAATTGGGAGGACCAGTTACGGTTACGGTCTAAGGCACTGAGCACCAAAAGACTGGACTGGACTTTTAAACACTGTGCATATATAACAACCAACCACCACTGGAGTAGTGCATCCTGGCAGATGCATACTCCATCCCCCTGGTGTTCGGGGTCTTGCTTAGGTGTCAGAGGGTCATTACATACACATTTACATGTCACATTGTGTTTGTAGATTCTCCAGTCATTACCACCACATTCATTCATGTCTATGCACTCTCTGTGTCACTTGCCACCTCTCCACCACCTCGTGCAACCATCATTAGACCAACACCCCAGGCCAAATGTGCTTCTTATAGAAGTGCCATACAGCCATTGAGCTGCTTACTCTTTGATCCCATAAGTAGAATTTGCTCAAGTCTCAGACCTCCTGTTAGGATTCATTGTTTGCGTTGACTCTAATATTGGTGTATCCCTGTGAATATGAATGTGTCAGTAGATAGACATAGATGAAGTACTTACTTTGAAATAATTGAAATATGCTGTAATGGCAGAGTTGAGTAGAGGGCAATGCACCCTAGATTGCATTGGTCCTAGAATACCTTAACCTTTGACTGAGAACAGAGCATGATCGAAAACGTTAAAGGCTTTAACAATCCGAAACAGAGTTATTGATAGCTCAACACTTTACCAAATATCTCTTAGTGCTGTGTTACTTGATCTTACTTGAAGATCTTAGTTCACACAATATTGGGGGTAAAGGTAGTAATGGCTTATTCTATCTTACACATACATTTAAACACCTAACTACTAGTTCTATATCTTGAAGGAAAGTCTTAGAACCTTCTGTCAAGTTCTAGTTAGCTTTACAAACTACAAGCATTACGGAATCAGAGTGTTTGGATCCCTCGTATTTGGTTAGACTGTGAGTGTTAGGATCAACTCTTGTTCCCCTACGCTGTATATGGCCAAATATTGTCAAGTAGTCATGTCATGTTGTATATAGCCAAATGCAATAGATTCAGGTATATATGCATAATGTAGAGATTGATTTATATGTACAGGTGAAGAGGCCATTTCTGTGTGAGATAAGAGTAAAACTATTTGGAAGATCAAGGGGGAAATAAGGGAATATGAGTGTATACATGGAGGTACCATAACACTTCCCCTTTCTCCCAATGTCTGTCAAAGGTACTGATTAACATTGTTAATTTTTTGGAACTTGAGTTTGTAGATTTCAAGTTGTCAGGCAAATGTTAAATTCAAGTGCATAACCCTCAGTGTTTGAATCTCCAGAGCATTCATGAATTTTGTTGGCTAGAAATTGTACCTGTTAACCATAGCTACCCCCACAAATGATTCTGTGAGTTACACATAGAATTTGTTCAAAATATATAACACATTTTAGTCAGTTTGTACAATTACATACACAATTTGCTCCAACTACTCTTGAAATACACAACACACTCAGTTAGTTTGTACAATTACATACACTGCAACTACTCTTATCATGTCATTTGATCCTTTAAAATCAATCAACCCAGGTTCAGTCAGCTAAAGTGATGATTGGCTGGAGTGATTTAGTGACTGCAGATATGATATCTGCACGAAGTTCAACTTCAACTTGTTGGATTTGATGAACAAGTGAAGCAGTTAATGCATGTATAATGGCTTGGCGATTCAAGTCAGATGATGGGCCACCAGCACTCCTCTGGATGAGGTCAGATGGATAGTGATCCAAGTCAGACTGTGATTGGGTTTTCTTCCGAAGTGCAATCCGAGTGCGGAGTGGCAGCATTGGTGGGGCATTTGGCATGAAGCCTGTGACCTGCCACCATAGCTCTGATACTCTGCCATAGCGCAGTAGCAGATCACTAGACATGGCCGGTAGATGGCCAACTTCTGCTGCATACTTGACACGAGCTGTTCCAGCCATATGGCCAGCTTGTTCTGCAATGACATCCTCTCGCTCTTCATCAACCACAGCCTCTGAACCAAGGAAAACACGGCCTATTTCAACAGCTATTTGTCGATAGTCATGGACCCCAGTGTCCACTTTACAGTAGCTCCCCAAGAAAGCCTTAAACACACCACACCACTTGTCAGCTTTCCTACGTGCACCCTGACTTGTCCACAGATACTCTGAGTAGAGATGATAGACTGCAATACCTTCATCTGGCCTTGCTTGATAGATGAGTTGATTCTCAATTGGACGGACAACAAGCAGATATCTCTCCAGGAAGTTTGTGAGCCTTGGAGGACACTTCATGGGCAGGAAAGCCTCCTTCCGTATCTGGTTTGTCGTTTTCACCCGCCTGGTGACAATCCATATGTCCTGACCATCCCTGAAGACAGTACGTGGTTTGGTTGAGTTTGTATACTTGGCTTCAAGAAACTCTTCAACACGAGGAGTCTGACCTGGTGTCATAAAAGCTAACAGGCTCAGCTTCTCATTGACAGAATCGCACTGTCGCAAGAACTCCCAGAGTTTTACAGGATTGAACTTGAGGGCCTTGTTCTCCATTGTGGCCAGTTGGAGTGTCTTGTCATCCATCATAACATGAAGCAGTTGATTATTGTCATCCAGGAACTTTCCATTTTGTGTCCAGCCATATCCTCGAACTTTATTGTCCCAGTCATCTGGTATAGAATCCGGAATTGAGAGGAGCTTCTCTTGCCCCCGACAGAGAATGGTGAGCTCAGCATCTATCTCATCAGCCAGCTTTGCTAGCCCTTGCCTCCACTGTGCAATGTTGAGTGTGTGTTCACCAAAGGTGATGGACATGCCATCTTGGCTGACACGTGTTGTAGGTGCTGTGTTCGTGTTCAAGGCAATGGCGGAAGCATATCTCTGATAGTCACGACAGTTGTTGTATGGTGAAGCAACTCCTGGTTGGAGATTTAGCAGTGCCTCATTTTTTACAGATCTAGAAAGCAAATACAATGGTAAGCTTTGTTTTCAAAAACATGTGTGAGATCACTTACTCATACAAATCTCCTCCGAATTTGTCAGCATTGAGGTATCCTTCATACAGGATGGCAGCCCTGATATGATAGCACAATTTGGCGTACATCTGAGTGACATTATGTGCCTCTTTGAAGGTGCCATCTGACTGTAAGGCAGTGAGTGCTTGAAGGCACTCATTCACCTCACCCCACTTGCCTGCCACCACTTGAGCAGCATCAAGACCTGAGCGATCCAGTGGATAGAAAAGTGGCTTAAGGAACTGGTGAAGAATGAGGACTACATTGTCCTGATCTTCAGACTGAAGTGCAATTTTCAGAGCTGCTGCACGGACACGATCACCATGTGTCAGAGGGAACATGTACCCTGATGGCTCGTTGGGCTCAAGGGTGACCAGGATGGCATGGACCCACTTGTGCAGGAGTAAAGCATAGCTTTCAATGGACTTCTCATTGTCCAATGGCTGCCAAGCATCACCAGTCTGGGTGGTCCTTGGGCACTCATGGAGGAGGCATCTTACGCCAATTTCTGCCTCTCCAGCTTTCTTACCTGTGTCATGCAGGTAGGCAACTGTGGCCTCCTTGAGTGGTACCCCAAGCCAGGGAATGCCCTCCTTTGAAGTTGGAACTTTGGTGAGGGCCATGAGCTTTGCTATAGTCACAGTGTCTTTTAGATCCTCTGCAAGATGCTGATGCCAATGGGTAACTTTTAGAAGGGGAGGAATCTCATTTGGGGACAAGGCCTCATTAACCAGGGTTGAGTCTCTAAAGACTGGTAGCATCTGATCAAGATAGACTGAGTACAGATCATCAGATGCAAGGCCTGTGCGCACAGACTCAACTGGAAAACTGGGGGAATGGGTGCCAGAAAAGTATTTTTGTATGGAAGTGGAGGTTGAGTTATCAGCATAGGTCCCAGCCTTGCCAGAATGCTCTTTTGAGAAATGGGTCATTATAGTCCTCTTACTAGCCACACAGTATGAGCAGTGTGAGCACTTGAAACCCTGATTTACAGCCAGACCTTTGATGGGTGCAGAGTTTTCAGGAGGTAGTGGAAGGTTGTCCTTTTGGACAGCAAGTTTCTCAGTTTTCAGAAATTCCTTCAGAACACCCAACTGGGTAGAAGATAACAGAATTTTATGGTCCTTAGCATGCTTGAGAGCCACACTAGCATTTACTCCAACTTGGCAAGCCTTGCAGGCAATAAACTTGGGACAAGGGTCAGGCAGCCATTTCAATTCCACTACAATTAGAGAAGCAGCCTCAAGTGCACGTTCAATTATAGAGCTCTCAATTGACACAGCAGTCAGATTTAGAGCCCCCAATGCAGGTTCACTCATGGAGATTCCAGCTGAAACAGTAATCAGTCCAGGTTCAATCATGGAGCCCCCATCCAAAACAGCACCAGGTTCAATCATGGAGTCCCCAGCCAAAACAGCAGTAGGTTCAATCATGGAGCCCCCAGCCAAACCAGCAGTTAGATCAAGATGTGCAATGGAGCCCTCAGTCAGATCAACATCCATGTGTCGCTCAGAGTCAGAACTTAGCCCTGGAGAATGCTCCTCATCTCCACCTGTATCTACTTCCTGCTCCTCCCACTCCTCATCCTCCTCCTCATCGCTATCCTCCTCCTCCTCCCCATCCTCATCACCCTGCTCCTCCCCGTCCTCATCACTATCCTCCTCCTCCTCCCCATCCTCATCACCAATCTCCATCCGACCTTGGGGATCATGATCCTCATCCTCCCCATCGTCGTCACTAACCTCCATCTGACCTTCCCATAAACGGCTTGAACTTCTACTGGACCCACTTCCCATAGACTCATCCTCCCTCTCATGCTGTGGCTGTGGGCTGGTAGGTTGAGAGAAAGCGAGATGCACAAGTGGTGAAGGAGAGGGAAGCACACTAAAGCTTCCTGATGGCCTGGACGGGGATGCTGATACACTTCTTGAGGGAGAAGGCGAGCCTAATGGCTTGGAAGGGGATGCGGAGGCGCTTCTTGAAGGAGAAGGTGAGCCGCTGGTGCGTCGCTCATATGGTGTACTTCGAGAGCTGATCGGAATTGAGAGTCGAGCTGTTCTTGGCCTTGTGGCTCGAATCTCAGGAGGTGGTGGTGAGGGTTCTGGTAATGTGCTCACAGAAACGCCAGCGGCAGGTGGAGGGTGGGAGGGTTCTGGTGATGTGATAACGGAAACCCCAGCGGCAGATGGAGGGTGGGAGAGTTCTGAGGATGCGATAATGGAAACCCCAGCGGTGGGTGGGAAAAGTTCATATTGGGTGGTGAAATCTTCTTTAGACATAGAGTGTTTCCTGACAAGATGCCCCTCAACACTCCTCCAGGAGAATTCCGAATAGTCAGGACAATTATAAATGCATGATATCTTCTGATCTATTGCTGGCCTGACCGATCGACCGATCTCAGTGCCAGCACCTGCTTCTAAAGAAAAAGAAAAAAAAAGCTGATTGTTTGGAGATGGGGCAGCCAGCTGAAACACTCACTCTTTGAATTTACACGGACTATTGCAGTTTGACAGTGATTATGCTTGACATGCGACTCATAAGCCCTGAGGCCAGGTACTCCTGATTTAGGCGTCCAGGAGCAAGCTGAACAACGTGCCCTGCCAATTGGGTCAGATAAGGTCTCAATGATTATGGGTGGGCACATACGCCATGGGTGAATAGTGATTTCAAGGACTGGTGGTTGAAGTCTTGAATCGTGGTTATTGAGAGGGTTGAAGTCACAGATGTTGTGACCTTTCTGGGTAAGCCGAGACAAACCAAAATACTGGTGGTTGGGTTCGGAGATGTGGTGAGAGGCTGGATAGTAAAGGGTGGTGGTGGTTGAAGTCAGAGATGTTATCGCGATCGCGATGTAGTTGGTCAACAGAGTCAAACACGGACGTGATGACAAACGTGACGATGGCTTTCGCCTTGTTCCAAGTAACACACAACATGTCCTTTATATCAACTACCACAATCAACCACCTTTCTGTCGGCTAACGTCTACCATCATGGTATCATCACCAGAATCCCTCTCTTGCAAGTCTTCGTCCTCTTCATTCCGCATGCCACCACTAATGAGCAATGCAGCCACTCTTCGTGCCCACTCTCCTCCAGCCGTCGATTTATGCCATATGACATCCGGCCTCGGCTCACCTACAAAACACCCCCAACGCAGCCTACGCTCAAACGAACCCCGACTCGGATCACGTTCACCCAACTCAATCCCTTCATCACCCACCTTGGTGTACGTGTCTTTTTCTTTCACTCACATGTACCCTGATCTGACACGATAACCACAGCCGCTCGTCTTCATCGGCGATCTTCGAATGGGTCATTGAACCTCCCGTTATCCCTCCGCCCACGCTCCCCCATCACCCACCCAACCCCCAGAGTATCACGCGCAAAGTCGACTGAAGAAATCGAGCAGTCTGTTCCCTCCGTTCTCGACTCTGCCGCGTCCATCGACGACTCGCATGCAGAGGAACAAGTATCTGTAGAGCCCCCCCTGCCTCTCAGAGCAGTGCCCGTTGAGTTTCAGGAGCAGGAGTCCCAGTCCCTTGGGTTCAAGGAACATAACTGCTGCCGGTGTACTCATCCGTAACCTCCTTCTGAGCCCACATGCACCGCCTACCACCTTCCCCGTCGTCGGCCGCATTCACCCACCCAGCTTCCAGCGATCAGGCTTATGATCCAGACACAGACGGCTACGGTGGCTTCGACGCCGTCCCTCATCACGCCCACTTCGGCGTATTTCTCGACTACGTCGATGGGTAGTTCTTCATCTTCGTCTTCCCCTACTATGACGACGGCGCAAGAACACCCGCTTGCTTCGCTTCCAGAGCCTGACGATGGTGATGTCTGCGCGGGGGACGAAACAGAGGATTCAGCAAAAGGGAGGAAACGCAAAGCACAGGCAAAGGGCAAGGAAGAGTCGAGGTGCGAGAAAATTGCGAACTTGCTTGTGGAGGGAAAGAAGGGCGCGGATTCGGAGAAGGCTGTGAGTGGGAGGGAATTATGATGGGGCAGAAAGGAAAATCAGAGCTCTCGCCTTCATCCTCCTCCACCAGACCCCGCCGCTCTCCAAAGACGACGACCCCTGCTGTCGATTCTATCCCTCGGGTCACCACTCGCATCGAGACAACCCCAATGCAAGATGTTTTGCAGCCAGACACTACCTCCACACAAATTCAATCCGACGACCCTTCCCCCCTTCCCGTAGGCCTCTCCGCAGTCCCACTAACCCACATGTTCAAACGCTCTCTCTCCCTTCCGTCAAGCAGCCCGCACTCAACACTCCCGGAATCTACAATCACTCTTCCATCTGACGCCGCGTCGCCAGGAGACGGGGAAGCCAGCAGGATGGGTACACCAGGCACACCACCATTGCGTCGTCATCCCCACTCTCAAACTATGACCACAGGAGATACCGCCACCTCATTCCCGCTCCTCTGCACTCCTTTTACATCCTCGACATCTCCAGTGGGAGGATGAAGAAGCACGTCGAAGGAGTGAGTTATCCCAAGAGGGCGAGTATTGGTGGCCGTCGCCGGGTTTGGAAGGCCAGATCGCTGACTCGGGCTGTGAGCGGCCGATGATCGTCACGTCTTATGGGATGGGATATGAAGATTCTGTCGGACAGTTCGATCATCAGTACAACGAGGTGCGCCGCTGTGCCTTGCTTCTTGTCTTTTTGACAGCTGACCTTGAATTATGTTCACTCAGCAATACGGTGCGTCTCTCGAACCCCCAAACGACGGCAGCGAGCTCGTCATTTGGTCAACAAACCCCAATCATCAAGGCCTCGTCGCCGTCATACAAGATCCTCATATGCATTCCGAGACCGACGTCCCTCTCTCGACCCCTCTCCCGCTACCTGTGTCGACAGACCCCTCAAAGTACTTCTACACCTCCCCATCCGCACCGCTCCCCGCTTCGTCATGTTCCACCTTGTCTGGTTGGGCTTTCGATTATAAGTATGACGAAACTTTGCACCAACAAGTTCATCAGCCGCTAACACGACGGCGTCAGCACCAATCCCGGCATGGTACGAAGCCCCTGGTTGGGAGGCACATCAACATCAGTTCAACCATTCTAATCTCTACTTTAGCCCGGACAATTGGGATCGGATAGAGGTGAACCATGAGGAAGATTGCCACATTGGAAGACGATCGTGATATCTGCTGTTGTCCTGGGTGAACAAGTATTTGTTCTCTTTCTCCCACCCTCTCTGCCGTTTTTTTCTTACTCTTCGACTTCGTCTCTTCGAACACATCTTGGCAAATCATTGTAGCTATTATTGTTTCCCCTTTCTTGTTTCATCGGCATCACAGTATGTAGATATGTATTAAGTTACGTTATTCATCTTCACTGTACCTCCCATCCATTCATATTGTACATAATTACTATAGAATCATTTGAAAAGTTAACACACGAGGTGCAAACTTGGGTGCAAAGCAAAATCGCAACAAATTCGAGAAGTGATCCGATAACACCGATTGTAACTATGTATGGGTTTCTCTGGCGTGTTGGTGATTTTGCTTCTCTCTTTACATACGTCCGAAACTACTTTATCCAATCCCCATTTCACAGCCGACTCATCTGCTCTCATTTTAACAACTTGAAGGTCGACGGAACCACATACCTATTCGATCGCTCTCATAGCTCCCTTTAGTCAACCAACTCTCAAAATTACTGGACGTTGCTGAATCATATGTTCTCCCCAACGTATGCCACTAACGCCGCTGGTCTCAATTACATTCGTTTTACAGTCGGAGCTTCTGATTTTTCTGCGAACCGTGAGTCAATCGAAGCCTCAAGCTCCCTCTGACGTTGATCTCAGAATTTTAGTTTATAGTCTAGATGACAGCAGTGGCGATATATCTTTCAGCAACTTCAATATCAACAAGGTCCTATCCTATGTTTTTTTCATTCTCAAGGATATTCGGGGGATCAGTTCTAATCTCACAGTCCATATTATCCCATGGTGGTAAGTGCCCAGCTCTCCCTTTGACATCCACTCACTGCTTTTTAGCCAGGTTGGGTGAAAGATAGTGGGAGTATGAATGGCGGATCCTTACAGTCAAAATACGTCCCTGCTTGTATGAACTTATCATCCGCTACCGCATTCTATCTCTTCTCTGCTTTACAGATCCTACGTACCTTCTCAAAGCCGTACAAGGTTTCCAAAGTCAAGGTATGAACAAAAATCCTGACATTCCTCGCCCATTTGAAGAAGTTTTATTGCTTCTCCCATTTGAATATCTTCGCTGATTGTCTTCGGTCATGGGATTAAAATGGAGTCTGTGGAGATTATGTTTAATGAGGTGTTCGTAATTTACATATTCCACGTACTGGCCTGTGCCCGAGTATGGGCGAGTCGTGGGCGGTTGTGGAGGTAGCGCTCAGGTAGTAAATACCTATTCTCATCAGAGGGCCAGGGATGGGAGTGGACTTACGGAGGATTAAAATGGGCGCATTCTCGCGAGGCCTATTTGAACGATAACATGAGCATCCCTTTGAGGGTAAGTCCAGGGGCTCCATTGCACGTCCAATAGTGACGTAGAATATTTTCTCCAAGCATCATTTCAGACGCCAGTGCGGAAATAAGAACATGAAGGTGTCAGTTTTGGTTTTTATGGGAATTATTCAATGTGCAGCAATCCCATATCGCACTACTGAGTATGCGACGGCTGTGGGGATCCACCAACCCCGCATACTTGTTGGTCAGTAAAGAAATTCGATTTCGTAGTCAATGACCGACGACTGTTGTACTGATTCACTCATGCCCATGGGAAGGGAACTTGGTGTATCCGAGTCCTCGTACAGGGCAAGTCGGGTTAGAGATTGGGGGAAGACATCAAATTTGAAGTCCTGTCGACGCGAAGCGCAATGAACCGATGTTCGTCGAATTGTTTGGCGCTCCCCACAGCTATGCTGTCACCAGTCGAAAGTGGGTCGGGAAACCATGCATCCGGCGTAATTGGTAGAGATTAAACAGTCTCTTCCAGCCCTCTTTTTAAGAGGTCTCATCGCGTTCTAATGTTTGGAGCTCAATGGTGTGGTTAATGGGGAGCAGACTTTGATGCAGCTCCTTGAACACAAAGCAGGAGGTGAAAGCGCCGGAGATCGAGAAGGCTGACTTTGTAGTTTGAACTCTCTCTCCAAAATAGGTTGGGCTACCTTTATTAACCCTATGAGAAACCAATCCACAATCTAGCAATCCGCAACAACTGAGACCACGGCATAGGACGTTATCAAGGATGTCTTCAAAGCACAGCTGACGGTGACGTCGAGTTATCAAGATAATGCAACAGAGACACAGATAGGAGATCAATTGAAGAACATTCCTTTGATGGCCATAAACCTGCAAAATGGCCTACACGTTGCAGTTGTATCGCAGTCAAGTACAAGATGAGGAGAGGACAGTTTCAAGGCGCGAGGAAGTCACGTGTGTATACGATGAGCTTGGAGTGTTTACGTAACCATGACACTGATCTCACCGTTGTCTCACCATTTGCACCGTGCGCGTTTCCACAAACCAATGATACTGTATCCGCATTTTCTAATATCACTAATTCTTATATAATACCATGGCCACAACCTGGGGTTGCAGATCGTAAGATCCTCGATTCCCATCCCAGCTGTTTGCTGGGACTGGTACGATGGCAAGCGCGAGACAGCGTGCTTGACGGGTCACCTCTCTACCACCTACCATAGCGAAGCAATACGGATGGCGTCTAGTTGCGAGTAGCCATGCGTGTGGAGAAAACATGCAGACCCATCGGTCTGGTGCGGGTTTATCGAGTAGCGAGTGTTGCTGCCGAAAAAGAACTAAAGGAGTACAACTTAAAAGCGAAGGGACGACAACTCCCTCTTGACCTCGTCATGCGAATTGGCTCTTACCTTATCGTATGTAGCTCCACATTCAGCGATACTTGAAAAGTTCAACAATTGAATAGGATTTCGAAGGCAGCGTTTCGCCAAGACGCACAAAGAGAATGATTGCTCTCAAGTAAGAGGATTTACACGTTTACTGGCCCCCGCCGTCGTGATTATATTCAATTCCCTTACGCAGAATGGTTCGAAGTGGATGACTCGTCTTCGGCCCACTGGCATGCGTGGATATCGTTGAGCTTCAATATCACTAGAGGGTTGTTAAAGAGGCCACGACAACGCCAGAGGATGTCAAGAAAGGGTGAGTTCTCTTGGAGCTCTTAGATTTACCAAACTTATTCTTCCCTTCAAATCACCTGCCATTCGTAAGTATTTGCTTTTTAACATCTCAGCTGATCCCGACTCCCGAGCATTCAATTCTAGATCTTTCACAATTTGTAGCCCGAATGAGCCACTCTCTCAATGTATTCATGACCTACATGGTTAAACCGTCCAAGGAAATCATTCGTGATGAAGGGCGCTTGACTGGCTTGTTGTGTTTCGGGCCGTGACAATAACAACAATAACTTGAACAACCGCCCACAAACGCGCCTCTCAGCTCCAACCTTTGTCTCGTTGTAACAAAAGAAACTTGGTCTCCCCTGTCGGTTTTTTTGTTCTCCCCACTGCCAGCCTCACGCAAACCCTCAATTTGCCGCAGATCATGTTCGATGGATCCCTGCAGTTACACATTATATAACAACAAAGTTGGACGTTGGTTTGCTTTCAAGTACCGACTCACCTCTCCAAATTTGAAGTGAAGTATGGAAACGTACTTTCAGCCTGCTGCTGCCAACTACCACACTCCTCCTATTCACCCCCAACAACGACAGCGGGGATACCGTATTTGCGACCAATGCCGTACTCCAGAAACCCAGTCTCTCAAGTTCCGCCTATGTGGAGGTTGTGTATGCCGTCCTTCTCTCCTTGCTTTCATGAAGTTTGACTTGGCTCCCCTCAGCTGGTGACCCAATATTGCGCGAGCCTTGTCAGTCCCCGGTACTAACTTGCCCTCTGACGAGTCTGTCTGCCGTAGTCACAAGACTGCCAACACGATCATTGGCCTCACCATAAAGCAATCTGTCAGCACACCGAGTCAGTATCCAAAGCCGCCATTGCAGCTGCGTCTTCCTCCCCAGCCGCAGACGAACGCCTCGCGAAGAACTTCCGGAAGTTCGCTTCTGCCCATACGGCGTTGTTGGGGTGGGCTGGTTTCCAGGCATTGCAACTCAAACGTGTCCCGGCAAATATTAGGTAAAACGCGTTGCTCATTGACTTGAGCTACCATCCTCATGCCGAGTCTCATCGTCGGTAAGTCCAATGTTCCTTTCCTCCCGCGCACTCCCTCGATGCTCACGCGTGCTTTGGTAGATTTTCGATAACCTCAACCCACATTGTACCGAGGACCTATGTCCATGACCCGCTCGTCATAGCTGACATCCAGCGGCGCGAGGAACGGTGCAGGTATAGCGGAGGCATTGGCACGCTCGTCGTCGTTATCCAATGTGGCGGTGTCTCCCAAGTTATGCCCGTTGAAGTCGATCCGCCTGCGAAGATTACGTGGGACTCGAGCGACGATTGGGCGAGTGTGCTTGCGCACTTCGTGGAGAGCGGAAGGACGGATTTTAAGCCGATATCGACTACTTCAAGGGGGTGAGTTGTCCTTCCGTTGTCATTTTCGGAGAGCGGGATTGACGAACGGGTTTAGGGTGTATTATGGATGAGGAGCGAACCTGTGTGGACATCAGAAGACCATCCGCACCCATGAACCTTTGCAACCACGCACCCTTCGTCCTCAATCAGGACCACCCGGCATTTGACAGCTCGCGCACCCTCAATTCACCTTGCTCACGCATCCCCGTATCATTCCACTCCCGTTCGTGTATCTCATGCACGATCATACCCGCGTCGTCGATCGGTGCACCCTCAGCACATATTCACACCTCTAATGAGCAACATCCATTGCATCAGCATCGTCCATATCATCACCAGCAACAAAATTCACTCACATCTATCACGTCGTTATCTCGGTACAATCCGTCAGTGCCATGTCGGCTTGCCGCATCTATACCTCTTCCCCGCCTCTATTCAGCTTGTCGAGTACAAGCTCGCCCCCTTTGTTTCGCTTTCGCTTGCGTTCGCTTTTTCGTTTACCAAAAACATTCGGTTTGAATTATCTTTATCTACGGCATGTGGTTCGATTTTTTGGCGAGTTTCTTGATTATACCTGAGTGTGTAGATAGATAATCAGATTATAATAGTGTTGTGCGATACAATGGCATGCGCGCACCCAGGTTTGGTTGAGAGAGAGAGAACGACGAATGGTTGAGATTAGGGGGAGCGAAATTTCGACAGTCCCATTGAAAGCCTGAGCTTGAAATTGACAAGAGAACGGCTGATCCATAGAGTTGTGGAAGGGCAGAATACCAGGGAAAGCTCTGCAAAGTAGAAGCAGAGCAAGTTGAGAGGGCCATAGAGTTTGCATAAAGTTTACTATCGTCGGCTATCACCAGAGTTCAGCGCTCAGCGCTTCAAGTATTAAGGATAGGTCCAGCGTTGCTGACAGGAGAGCTGGGAGTTGATCGCGAGGTGGAATGTGAGGAGGGCAGAAAGGTTTCAGGGGAAGATAAAGCAGGTTTAAAAAATTTGTACGCCCCTCCAGGCTCCGAAACGACGTATCGTCGTCCTCTTAACGGACGGATGCCACCCTCGAACCCCCACATCCCGCCATGAATCTCCCAGACCTCGACACGACGTATCGCGCCGCATCTCTACGCGCGGATCGCGTATGGATTGTCGGATGGCGTTGGCCGATGTTGAGAACCTGCAAAACTTGGGCAAGAATCAAAAGGTTAGTCAAGTCATTTGAGACCCTACGCATGAAGAAGTACTTACCCGTTTGTTTGGAGCCACCATCACATATGTTAGTCACATTGTGCCTTACCTAATGGAGTAGCCGGATGTGACAAAACACCATACTACATGGGCCCAGCCGGACGGCCCGAATCTTATGATGTGCCTTTAGTGATGGTGCGGCCGTGATCCTTACAGGGACTCACTAAGTAGCATGCGCTGGCTGTCCTTTTAACCGACGGCGTAGTGTCTCACCGGCGGAGATGTCCTGATGCCCGGCGGGGAGAGTTGCGGTGTACCCTGTCCTCTGGCGGCACAAGTTGCGGCGTACCATGTAAACATAGATGGTGATCATACATAGTGATAGGGCTGCAGTCATCAGTTAAATGTCATGAATGTGAGCCATTACAACTGAAAAATATACTGAATGATTAATCACAATGAGAGTCCTACTGCAAGGTGATGAGATACTGTAATTTCTTTTGAAACACAAGCAGTCTTCATTAACTATTGTCCATATCATGTCCCCCCAGATATACAGCTGAATATAACACACCAGCAGAACACCTTCCAATAAAAACACATTGCCTTTTCATAAGAGACACTTTTTGAATAGCTGTGTTGGAGGTCTAGAGCAATATATATATATATAATAAAGCTCTGTTGCAGCAGTGCAGTTTTTTCAAAGAGGCACCGCAAGACCAATGTATTTTTTTCACCGCCGGCACAATGTATTATTTTTTAAATTGGCACTGCCAGAGAAATGTATTTTTTTTAAGGTGGCACTGCCAGCACAATGTATTACTTTTTAAAATGGCACTGCCAGAGCAATGTATTCTTTTTAAAATGGCACCGCTGGCACAATGTATTATTTTTTAAAATGGCACCGCCGGCACAATGTATTACTTTTTAAAATGGCACTGCCGGAGCAATGCATTTTTTTTAAAATGGCACCGCTGGCACAATGTATTATTTTTTAAAATGGCACCGCCAGGGCAATGTATTACTTTTCGAAATGGCACCGCCGGAGCAATGTATTATTTTTTTTTTCAAAAATGACACCGCCGGGGCAATTGTTTTTTTTATTAAAATGGCACTGAGGCAATGTATTCCTCTTTAAAACACCACCACTGGAGCAATATGCTCTGCCTTTGAAATTGCTCTGGCAGAGTAGTACTTGCATATTTTTTAGAAATACAAAAATCATGTTTAGGGCAAAGAACACTAGAATTAAACAGACAGTTGATACATATGATTACTAGTAAATGGGTGGTACTGCTGAGGTACTCTTGTTTACTTCTGCATATGTTTTCTATGGGGGGACTGAGGGGTGGATTGCAGAGGGTAGATTGCAGATGGTAAGATTGCAGCTGCGGAGGGTAGATTGCAGCTGTGGATGGTATATTGCAGGAGGTAGATTGCGGAGGGTAGGTTGCAGCTGCAGAGGGTATATTGCAGGGGGTATATTGCGGTATATTGTGGCTGTGGAGGGTATATTGCAGGAGGCATATTGCGGGAGGTATATTGTGGGAGGTATATTGCGGGAGGTATATTGCGGGAGGTATATTGCGGGAGGTATATTGCGGGAGGTATATTGCAGGAGGTATATTGTGGGAGGTATATTGCAGAGGATATATTGTGGCTGTGGATGGTATATTGCGGGAGGTATATTGCGGGAGGTATATTGCGGGAGGTATATTGCGGGAGGTATATTGCGGGAGGTATATTGCGGGAGGTATATTGCAGGAGGTATATTGCAGGAGGTATATTGCAGAGGATATATTGCGGCTGCGGATGGTATATTGCGGGAGGTATATTGCGGGAGGTATATTGTGGGAGGTATATTGTGGGAGGTATATTGCAGGAGGTATATTGTGGGAGGTACATTGCAGAGGGTATATTGCAGCTGCAGAGGGTATATTGCAGGGGGTATATTGCAGAGGGTAGATTGTGGCTGCGGAGGGTATATTGCGGGAGGTAAATTGCGGAAGGTATATTGCAGCTGCAGTGGATAGACTACAGAGGGGAGACTCATCTGGATCCTTCAAAGGGGTTTGGAAGAAAGTATATAAACCTCTGTACATGCTCACAAGTGTGTTTTGAAGAGTCACTTATGTGAAATACCTTTTCACAGATTGTTTCAGCTGCACAGAATGTAAAAATGACTGTCAACCCACATAAAAACTACCTCTGGAAAGCTGGAGAAAGCAGGATTTGAACAAGCTAGACCCAACAGTAGGTTACCTAGGAAAGGAAAAAGTCTTGATGGTGTTCATTGTAAATTTTAACTTTTCACAAGCTGTTTCAGCTCTGCAGAACATAATAATGGCTGTTACCTCATGTAAAAGCCACCTCTGTAAAGCTGGAGAAGTCAGGATTCGAACAAGCTAGGCCCGACAATAAGTTGTATGGGGAAAAGAAAAGCCTTGATGGTTTCTATCATAAAAAGTACCATTTCACAGGTTGTCTCAGCCCCGCAACATGTAATAATGACTTTTGACTCATGTAAAAAGCACCATTGAAAAGCTTGAAACGGGACAATTCTAACGAGCTAGGCCCGACGATAAGTTGTTCGGGAATAAAAAAAGTCTTGATGATTTTTCCTTTAAGGCCACAATGCAGTCAAGGGTNGATAGAGATTATCAACATAAAACCCTCTTTTCCGTGTTTGTCAACAAAAACAAAACATCTCTTGAAGATTTTAACATGGTAATTACCATGGCATTGAGGTCTATCACCTGGCTGGTTTTCAGGTTACATGGATTGAAATTGGGTGAGTGCGTCGTTGTTTGTCAGGATGCAGGGTCTGTTTGCATGCGGTGGAGGGCCCATCCACCAAGCGCATCACCTCAATTTGGAAATGTCTCAGGCACAAACTGAAACTTTGATGGTCCCTGCCTGGCACAAGCAAAATAGCCAGACCATCCTTGTTGCGGCAACACCCTTTTCTGGTCCTGCATAATGCATACTTGGTTATCTCTGGCTATCCCGGCCAGAGCTCATAAAAAAATGAAAGCGTGCAAAGCAATAGTTTGCAGAAGCATGTAGATTAATGGTGTTTTTGGGACAATGTGTAGTAAAGCTTTGCAATATAGCGGAGGCGATTTGTGGTGGGTAGTCCGGCGGTGTATCATAAAAAATGACACCGCCGGCAGAGCAATATTTGCGGAGAGCATGGTGTACTTAAATATGTTTTTGGTATAAACATGTCAAAAATATTCTAACAGGCTATTATAAATTTTCAATATAAAAGCGGAGGCGATTTGCGGTGGCTGGCCCGGCGGCGTATCATTAAAAAAATGACACCACCGGCAAAGCAATATTTGCGGTGGCATGGTGTACTTAAATATGTTTTTGGTATAAACATGTCAAAAGTATTCTAACAGGCTATTATAAATTTTCAATATAAAAGCGGAGGCGATTTGCGGTGGCTGGCCCGGCGGCGTATCATAAAAAAATGACACCGCCGGCGAAGCAATATTTGCGGTGGCATGGTGTACTTAAATATGTTTTTAGTATAAACATGTCAAAAGTATTCTAACAGGCTATTATAAATTTTCAATATAAAAGCGGAGGCGATTTGCGGTGGCTGGCCCGGCGGCGTATCATAAAAAATGACACCACCGGCGGGGCAATATTTGTAGAGGTATTGTGTACTTGAATATGGTTTTAGTATAAACATGTCAAAAGTATTCTAACAGGCTATTATAAATTTTCAATATAAAAGCGGAGGCGATTTGCGGTGGCTGGCCCGGCGGCGTATCATAAAAAAAAATGACACCGCCGGCGAAGCAATATTTGCGGTGGCATGGTGTACTTAAATATGTTTTTGGTATAAACATGTCAGAATATTCTAACAGGCTATTATAAATTTTCAATATAAAAGCAGAGGCGATTTGCGGTGGCTGGCCCGGCGGCGTATCATAAAAAATGACACCACCGGCGGGGCAATATTTGTAGAGGTATCGTGTACTTGAATATGGTTTTAGTATAAACATGTCAAAAGTATTCTAACACACTATTATAAATTTTCAATATAAATGCGGAGGCGATTTGCAGTGGCTGGCCCAGCAGCATATCATAAGAAATGACACCGCCGGTGGGGCAATATTTGTGGAGGTATTGTGTACTTAGATATGTTTTCAGTGTAAATGTGTCAAACTTCATTATAATTTTTTTTCTATGTTTGCGGAGTCAATGTGCAGTGGTTGGTCCGGCGGTGTACCATAAAAAAATTATATAACCAGTGGAGCAATATTTGCGGAGGAATCGCCTTGCTGGTGTACTCAAATACTTTTGCAGATTAAATGTGTGAAGCTTCTTCCAACAGATCATTCCAATATGTGTCATTTTTGTGGAGGCAATGTGTGGTGCTTAGTCCAGTGGAGTGTTTCAGAAGCAATGTGCAGTGCTTAGTCTGGCAGAGTGATTCCACTCAAATTGTAGCAAACAGCATACATAGGTTGATAATATTATGCATGATTGATATAAGCCAGACTTGTAATTCTAAGTATTCAACTGGATGATGGCCGCCGGTGTGTCACCAACACCCCGGCGGAGGGCAGCCCCGCACTGGGTTATGACATTCAAGGTACACCCAGCCGCTCCAGTGGTATGGGACATTGTTGCTGACGGCCCACACATAGTTACTGGTGGATTGTTCAGGGTCCGGCCGCCCCTTTGACAATGGGGTCCGGTAATCAAACCAGCTGTCCGGCTAGCCCCTTACCATTTGATGGATTGTCAGGGCAGGGTGGCCCATTACTAATGAGCCAAGGTGACTAACTTAACTGAAGTAGCTGGGTCATAGCCTGTGTAGATATCGACGCGCTTAGTGCTTGTGTGCTCGCACCATTGCTGACGAGCAGGAGGGTAATAAGACACCCAAGACACGCGCACCTGCATTGTAATGTATGAGAGTCAAGGGGAGGAAGAGGGAGAGAAAACACCCACGTAGATCTTCGGTGACAGTGTTGAAGAGATGGAAAAGGCCTTACAGGTCTCCCCAATGATCGCGGCTGCTTGAGGCTCCGTTATCGACCCTTCATGCGCTTGAGGTGCCATCTTGGCGATGAATTCGACCAGGGCGGGTATCAAAAGCCGCACACACTGCCGAAGGGTCGGGTTACCCGCTGAAGCTGACGCGACGAGCGTTTTCGCGCAGTGGGCAGCAGTTAATGATGTCTGGAGGATCATGGTAGTAAGCAAAAAGGCGTGTTGAATGAATGAAGCTCACACCATCCACATCCAGCAACTTCTGAGATATTAAGAAACAACAGTGCTCGACTGCAGATCTGCTGAGCTTCACTGTGCTGGGGATGACAATCAATACGAGGACTCCCGCCAAGAGGTTGTTCTTGATCTTCTTCGCACCACTTCGTCCACTGTATTTTATCATTGGTAAATATGTTAATTTGGCACTTGAAAAGGCGTACCGCATCTCATCAATGTGAAGCAAACAAGCCGATAAAGGGCATGAACTAATCGGTCATACCCTTCATTCACGTTTGACCCAGGAGCAGTCGGCAAGTCTAGCAATGACTTCAATGCTGGTAGAGTAAGCCCAACCAGGTCAATTTCGGACGATTCATCCTTAAGTAAGTCTGACGAAAAGAGATCTAGAATGAGTGGTTTGTGAATAGCATGATGGGTAGAGCGTACCGCAGTACAGAAGGATGGCAATGCTTCTGACATCTTCACATTGAGATGTACTGATCAAAGGCCCAATGGCCGTAAACGCGGACAGTGCGGATACAATCAGATATACGATCTACAACTCGTCCCTCTAACATGGAGAAAGAACAGAACCTGAGTCCAAAATCCGGAGGTAAGTCAAAGGCACTTAAGAATGACCCCCCCACGTGCAGTAGATGTGGTGTGCTTCAGAATATGTGAACATATCCTCAAACAATCCGCCCGAGGAGAGGTTGCAGAAAGTGCATCTGTTGACCTAACATGATCCAAAGTTCAACACTTGATTTTTGGTAGGAACGAACGACGTACATGTTTCCTGCACCATGAGATGCAGCAAAGATAGCAATCACCTCAACCAAAACGACCTGAATATTTGCAGGTTCCGTCATCGCCATACGATAGCACAGACTAATGAACTCCTCGAAGATGGCAGGTTCCATAATCGCTTTCCCCGAGTAATCTGGTCGCGCCAGACATTTGAGAGCTTGAAGACCAGAGATAACATTGGTTTGTCGGGTCGACGTGCTTGAAGATGAGTTTGGAGAGGAGGTGGCCAGTGCTTCGTATACCAAATCAAAAATCACGAAGAAAAACATCGCAGGTTCTTGCCGATCGGGGGAGGGAGTTATCGCGGTTTCGACTTTGGTTAGCTCTCTACCATCGCTGCAAGAATGTGGGGTCTCCTGCTTGCATTGCTGTAGCCACAGCTTGGAGGATGGTGGGCCACGTTTTGGTATAATACTAAAATAAAGTTTAGTGGTCCCTCATATGTTGAAGGATGCGTCAACTTACCAGAAGTAAAACTTCTTTCCCAAGACTCGAGTACGATGAGTCCAAAGCTACTGACGAAGTATCGTGCTTCACGTTAGATTCGAAGGTTGGGTCTTCCCTGCGGCTTTGGCGTCGAAGGCAAGGGAGCGGCTACGTCGAATTTATTTGGTTTGGGGGGCGGAAGGGCTGCAGTCGGAGGGGCTATCAACAAGTCAGCAAGGGGACATAACAAGCAGGAGCTGAGAAACACCGACCTGCCGTCACTGGGAGATTCTCCTCCAACTCCTTCCTCAGCCTCGCTTCCTCCTCTTCGTGTTCGTCCTCCCATTCCATCCTCCTCTTCTGCAATCCGCCCTCTTCTTCCACAATGCCTCCGTCAAGACCACGTGTAACAGTCCTCCTGCCCAATGGGCTCTCCTTCACCGCTTGCAACTTCCTCAACAACTGGTTCTCACGCGCACTGGAAGCCGCACCACTGGGACCAGTGGGATTGCCCATGAGGAAAGGCTGCCTCGCCGAGCTGAGCAGTGCAGAGATAGGCGAGCCAGGCTGAACGGCCTTTTGGAACTCCTTCTCCTGCTGTGCGATGCTGGTGATGATACTCTTCCTCGCCGCCATGCCTCCCGACGCAGAGGACGGCATCGTCTTTTCTCAGGCGCTTCAAGTTGGTGTCCGACACGAATTCGGATATGTGTTTAAAGTCTGGGGTGCCGTCGTGTGCAGAGGGGATGTAGGAGGGGACGGCGCCATGCGTGAAGAATGCGTGGTCAACAATTTCGTGCAGGGTTGGACATTGTGAGGGATTGAGGGTCAAAATCTGTGGAGTGAGGTGTTGGACTGCCCCAGAGATGACGCGGTCTATGGGAAATTCGTATTCGTTGCCGCGGATGCGCCTGAACACATTAAAATGGGAAAATCAAGCATTAGACCAGAAGGCTTACTTGTAAATGGCCTTGACGTCCTTGATCTGGAACGGACGGCGGCCGACAATGAGTGTGCACAAGATAACGCCAATGGATCACGTATTCACCTCGAAGCTGTGTCCATTCGTGGTGTCGAGCCATACCTCGGGTGCGACATAATTTGGGGTGCCGCAAATGGTCTTCTTCCTCTCCCCAGGGTTCTCGATGAAAGCCACAAGGTCAAGGTCGCCAACATTGATGTTCATGTTCCCGTCGGGAAAGAAATCGCCGAGCCTTGAGGTCGCGTTGGATGAGCTGGTGGGCGTGCATGTAGTGGCAGGCACCGATGAGCTGGACCATGAAGAAGCGGGACTCTGGCTTGGAGAAGCGGCGACGGCGGCGGAGCATGTCCATGACGGAACCAGGGGGGCATAGTTCGAGGGTCATGTAGACGTTGTCATCATCTTCAAAGCAGTCTTGAGAATTGACGATGTTTGGGTGCTGTAGGGACTTCTGAATCTTGATATCTGCGTAGAGCGTGTTAGTTGAGGGTTCTGAGGTAACAGAGAGAGAATAGTGACTTTTGTTTTCGCCTTTTTCGTTTTGAGTGATGACTTGGTGACGACCTTGCATGCTCTGCGACGGCAACTCTGTGGCAAACTCGCTGAGTCGAGCCACAACACCTGATGGAGGAACCACAGAGGCAGGATGAACGATTTGGTTGCCAGCGTCATTCGGATATGGCTAGTGTTTCGGATCCGCACCATTATCTTCAGTCGCAGCGGCAAAGGTAAGTGGAGTCGCAAGGGGGGTAGAAGGCGACAACTTAAGACGTGAAGCTTTGAAGCTTGAGTCGTGCAGTTCTTCGTCTTGTTGTTGATCCTAGGCCTCCTGATCTCGTCGTTCCAACCCCACTTGTCCTTTCGACGCTCCAGACCCGTCATTCGCACGTGGATTGACAGCAAAGAGTCAATCGCTGAACATCGGCAAAAGGGCTAGGGTTAGCAAATGGGGTGGTTGAGCAGAGCCCCCCGCTGGCGATGATGCTGTTCGTCGACAAGTATACCTAATTCAGCAAGTGTTAGCTCAGGGAATACTGCTATATTTGGAAATTTCTTAACCTCGTGGTCATTCATATCTTCCACATATCTGCTGCAGATATAGACTTGCCTTTTGTAGAAATATCTTCTCCCATATCTTCGACATTTATCCACCCACAAAATTCCTAATAACTCCGATGGAAAAAAAATGCTAAAATGAAATAAAAGATTTTAAATATCTTTCAAGTAAATCCGGTAGTTAAAAGGTAGCATTATTATTAATATCTACCCCATTTTTTCACGTTAAACCCAGCGGATATATAAGCCAGGGCCCGCAGTGTCTAGTGAGGAATGACTCGGAGAAGGAACGCAAACAAGTCCTGCGACTTCCGGGCCGAGTTGTTTGCTCCGACCTCTTCGATTGTTCGACACCTCAAGTGTCGACACCCTCTCCTTCTCCAGCACCGATTTCTCCAACCAAGATCGCAAAGTCGAGAACCTCAACATTGAGAAGATCGCAAAGGGCGTTATTGCCTAGTCCATGGGATCGGCCTTGATAATGTTGTTACAAAGGCGAAGGATGTCGATGGGGCGAGTGAGACGATGATCACTCTCGATGATGGTACATCGCTCTATTTCTGTCACTCGTTCCTCATCTAACCAATTTGAATTACAGGGAGCAATGAATCACGCAACGCCACTGATGCCGACCTTTCCTCACTCCACCTCCACTCCGTCACGACCCCACACAACCATGGCCGCATCTTCTGGTCACCAGCACCTGGTTTTGCCATAGGCGTTGGGTCGATACGCGAGAGTTTCTTACCGTACGAGGAAAGCGACACATTTATCAGCACAGACGCCAGCGTTACGTGGCAGATGCGACGAGACGCGCAAGGAGTTTGGCGATGAGGGGAGCAACCTGGTGGTGGTGAATGACGAGGACGGGACGGACAATCTGCGATGTTCTCTTGATTTGGGTAAATCATGGTATGTTCGCCTCTCTCGTTTGTCTTATGAAATTCTAACTTTCCCAACAGAGTGAAATATGAAATTGGCGTCAAATTCCGAGCGAGGACGCTTATGAGCCCCGACCGACTCGACCTCGAAGATGATCACCTTCGAGGTCGAATCGTCCAAGATCCAAGACAAAGAAGTGTGAGTGCGGTTCTCGTAGTGGTGACACGTTTTGTTTCCACTCCAGAGCTTGCTTGCACCAAACTCACACTCTTTCCCTCAGCATGAAGTCGTTCGGGGCTCCTGCCCCCTTTCCCTCGTCCTCACCGCCCTCTTGGTGTACAACGTGCACGCCTTTTCACAAGTCTCTCGCACAGGTCGATAGCGAGGTTTTATTCCAAGGGTGTAGCGTACCAACAACAAGGTCACTTCCTCTTCATCGCCCTCTCTTTGTGCTCACTTCTTATAGGCATTATGTGAGCCCCCACTGGGTTCGGTAACAGCGTAGATGAACCCACCACCAACTATGCCATGCACGCCGCCCATCCCTACAAACAATCGACAATGACCGTGAGGGTGGATATGCGTGAGGGCGGATACGTGTGAGAATAAATGCGCGTGAGGATGGATATGCGTCCTTCGGCAGCATTCAAGATCTGCATTCACATCCCCCTTGCGCGACCCACCACGTCATCGCGGGATTGTAGTGAGGGCGAGTGGGGCGAAACGAGGAGAAGGGAGGAACAAGAGGTGTTGAGCTTGCATCCTCGTCCTCTCCTCTCCCGAGAATTTTTTTCTCAACACCCCAGGGATGCGCGACATCCCACTAACCTCCGCCCCTGTTCCTCCCTCGTCTATCCCGCTGTCCCTGGAAAATGTGGTGAGGGAGATGAAGGAGCAGGTATACCGCGCATGGTTGGGGTATTATAATGGATACTCGAGGGGGATGGGGTTGAGCAAGCAGGAGTTGGTGGCGAGCTGCCGCAGGGTTTGGAACCGAAGGCGGTGGGAAATATGGGATTGAAAGGGGTGAAGGGGCTGAATATTCAATGTCGTATTGTGGCACCCAGGAATGTGGGAGGGGGTGAGGGTGGTCCTTGGAGCGGAGGAGCATGAAGAGCTTGCATCGCAGATCCTTCTGAAAATATTTAGATTCATGCAGATACCGTTGTCTGGGATGCCAATTCATAGAAACACATTGAGTTGCACTCAGATTTGAAGAGCGTGTTCACATTAAGATCTTCAAGACAATGGGATTGCCCAACGTGGGCCAACGCCTGCCGTTGACAACTCTGAGTGAGCGCTGATTGTCAAACGGCATTGAAATTCGGAACCATTAGAACAAGGTCGACAAGACACAATCATTTTGGAGGACGAGAACAAAGACGGATTGATCGTCTGTCCACCGCGCCTAGCCAAATCAAGTGGGCGGGCGATTTACGCGCAGTGGCTGAAGAACAGGGCTATGTATCAGCCTAATTGGAGCGAAGAAGAGAGAGTATGCTGGTCATATGCTGATCTAGATCGTGAGATGTCTCTTCCGTTTGATGTCACGGTGACATGTCCTGATTTTGCGATCCGTTCATCTCAGAGTCCGCTGCAAAGGTAGCTGCGAGCTTGGATTCTAATCGTGGTCACTACCGTTTTTCGAGTAGGTGAGAGCTAGAAACGGGTTCAGAGACGCAAAACAACAGCTGGCGGAACTCACAAAAGTATAGGTCATGAACCCTATCCATGATATCTGCCGATTCACTGCGAGATACGATACTTAATACTTAACGTCATCATGTACTTATGCTCTACTAATTCCCGATTCGGGCCATATGATAACGAGGAGACCCCTACAACATTGGAACCGCGTCGCTAAAACGCTCCGAGTGTCATACTTCTGACGAATAATTTATAAAACATAATGACGCACCATCACATACAAATCGTTGTCGTTTCAATGAACCACATCGTTCGACTGCATCAACCACAGTTTTTACCACAGAGGCTGAGTGTCTGAACGACAACACGGCGAGCAATTGCGTCCGACCCATTTGTTGGTGGCAAGGAAATAAACCTGTTGTCGGCCATATTTACCAGGGAATGGGATGAAAGGTAATCAAAGTCTCGTCTCATGGCCTTCTGGAGCAAAGAGAACGTGCCATTGAATATGAGACGCTATGGAATTCTTGAACAAGAACCAAACAAGAACTGAAATGAAAAGAGCGTATCAGCTTGACCGCGCCAAGAAATGGAGCGAAAGAATGATAGGTAATAGGACAGAGGCTCCTACGGACGATGTTTATCTCAATTCGTCGTTAAGTCACAACGAAGCGCGACCACCAGAGGATGGATTTCATGGGCCTCGATGATGACTGTCCGAAACCACCTTACAAATAAAGAGTAACTTCAAGGTTGACGGGATCAGAACCTTTGGTGCAACAAATGCCAAGAGGACTTGGGGGTGACTCTAAAGCGCGGAGTGCGCCCAAGCGTTCGTAGGTGGATTGAATCAAATCGGCCCATACTGAGAAACCAACCATCGACATACCATAGGTGACGAGAGTTCTAGGGGAAAATGCTGACTAAATACACTCTCCGCAGTTTCAGCCTTGGAAGGATGCAGATCTGGCATGGGGAGGAGGTTTTGATGATGACCGGGTGGGGATGCCAGACTGAGGTGATAGTGAATTTCATAACATAGGGGGGGTGCGGGTAGGAGGCCAACGTCGTCGTTAATACGTCGTTTGTCTGCTTTAGGTTGGTTCAGAGGGATAGGAAGGAGAGAAAGGCGACCTGCATTGAGAGGGAATCCAAGGACTCATCACGGAACGAGGCGGGTCGTGAAATAGGTTTTAAGGCTGAAATCGATCGTAAATCGCCATCGGAAGAGGTAATAGCACGAACTCACCCAAAACCCTTATTTCCCAGCGTACTTCTCAATCTGTTCAAACGCCAGGAGGTTGTGGTAATGTCGGGCAGTGGCCCCAAGCGTTGCTCAGAGAGCTGAAGCACGATTTTGGTGTGTTCTACGTTGGCTTGGACGGATTTGCCTATGCTTGTCTGCCTGGCCATCTTTGATGATATGCCGTGTGAGGAAGGAAGCCGGGCCGTTGATGCCGTTCGCTCTTCAGACTTCAACGTTTTGACCAACTACCGCCACATGTCACAACCAAAAACCTCATCGCCCCTGGCATCGCAGAATCATAAATATGATCTGAATCAGTACCCATGTGCTACCTACGGACCAAAACACGCCAGCTACATCAGAAAGACGACATATTGAAGGAAAACGTGAGTTTTCTCTGACTTTCGATTCTTTCTGATAATTAATCGGCCTCTGGGCGTCAGGAGGACTGCCAGACTCGTACGACGCGTGCAATGACGTGGCAAAGGAAGGATCGGACGTAGGTTGCTTGTTTCTTATGCTCAATGATACCCTGAACAGCGACCACATGAGAGACGTATATCCTTGTCAATCAATTGTCAATCGACCTATTCACCATTACTCTGGTGGACTCAATCCGAAGGGAACTTTCAAGATTCTTTCGGAGGGCATCGAGGATGAGGTAAGTCGTATGCCATCCATGACTTTGCTGACTTCTAGCAACGTTACTAGAATTCCGTCGTCAAACCCAAGTCAAATCCAAACCCACCTACATCGCCATCGCGTCCCAAATGCTCTTGTGTCCTCGGCTTCCTCGAAGATTTTAAGGACAAAAAGCCCGCCGATGTATCGCCGTCCGATAAAAGCCCTGTCTACACGTGGGTCGCATACGGGTGTCGAATGGTCCAGAACCTGCAAAAGACAACAATGAAAAGGTTCGTTCAGTCCTTCAAGACCCCGCACAAAGAACTTACCTATTTCGCTCAAAGTCGTCACCGCCTTTCGTTGCCTCGACGCAACGTATCGACTTCCGCCAATCACTATCCCAACACGACGGGGTCTGCCCGGGACTGTTCCCTTGTTTTCTTTCGACGTTGTGGGGTGGAACGACTACGCGAGGTGAATTTGTGATAATCTGACAAAGTGTTCGACGTACCTTTGTCGTTCGATTGCTTCCTCACGTCGCCACCTCTCTTGCACCTCCAAGGCTCGCCACGACGTATGGACATCCGCCAAACGCGTTTGGGACGCCATGGAGTAGATTAGAAATTAGATTTTGTCTGGGATATATAAAAAAGAGACAATATCACACTCCTGATCCAAAGTGTAGCTTCCGTCGCCGTTCACTGTGACGAGAGGGTGGCACCCCGCACCGCCGCAACTATTTGTACCAGGCAGCTTCGGATTTCCGTTGGCATCGGCAGCGATATTCCACCTCAAACCCTGTTCAACGTTGCTAGCCCATCTTTTAGAACGCAAAAGATGGGGAACGGATGGATTTCGCGTTATGTTTGAGACTCCCAATCCAACTAGAATATTAAGGCGTCGATAGAGGAAAAAATAAAGAATCAAAATTCTGACACATTATCCATGTACCACTTGAAAGAACATGTTCAGACACAACGGCAAGAGAAACTAATAGGGGCACCTTGATATCACTCCACCAATCAGACCCTATTGTTCCGGCGCACTCTGAGAAATAGATTTCCTAAAAGCTGAGTTGATGGTGAATCTAGCTCGAACGCCAAAACGTACCTTGGCTGGGAAGGAGTTGTGAAAGGAGTCTTGGTTAGAAACAGCTCCAGCATAGCAATGAAATGCCACGCCGGCGAAGGAGTTTCCAGTGCCCTCCATCTGAGAACGGAATTGAAGTAAAGTTCACGGAACTGCAGTTGTACGTACCAGAGCCACTGGGTATTCCCCAGCGTCATCCCAGTTATGCTGTAAATCTTGTCATCAGGGTGCTTGGAAATAATAAGGAATGGGGTACATACCTCGTAACCAAATGACTCTTACAGTTGAAAGACCGTTGATATTGAGGAGCGTACGCAGTGCGGCGCCAATTAGAGCTTCAACAGCGGGCGACATTGTGCAGGTGGGGTACGTAGGATTGTTATTCTGAGGTTCATTCTGAAAAACTCAGGCCAACTCGAATTCGACGATAGATATCGATCAGCATACCTGGATAGGTATCGCATATATGGCGATTCCTTACTTGGGAAACCTTGTACGGCTTTGAGAAGGTACGTAGGACCTGTAAAGCAGATAAGAGATAGAATGCGGTAGTGGATGATGAGTTCTTACAAGCAGGGACGTATTTTGACTGTAGGGATCCGCCATTCATACTCCCACTATCTTTCATCCAACCTGGCCAAAAAGAAGTGAGTGGATGTTGAGGGGAGAGTTGGTGCACTTACCGGGGACCATGGGATAGTGTGGACTTTGAGATTAGAACTGATCCCCCGAATATCCTTGAGAACGGAAAAAACATAGGATGGGACCTTGTTGATATTGAAGTTGCTGAAAGATGTATCACCGCTGCTGTTATCTAGACTATAAATTAAAATTCTGAGAGCAGCGTCAGAGGGAGCTTGAGGCTTCGATTGACTCACGGTTCGCAGAAAAATCAGAAGCTCCGACTGTAACACGAATGTAATTGAGACCAGCGGCATTAGCGGCATACATCGGGGAGAACAAATGATTCAGCAACGTCCAGTAATTTTGAGAGTTGTTTGACTAAAGGGAGCTATGAGAGCGATCAGATAGGTATGTGGTTCCGTCGACCTTCGAGTTGTTCAAAATGAGAGCAGATGAGTCGGCTGTGAAATGGGGATTGGATAAAGTAGTTGATGTATGTAACAACCACGGCACAACGGTTGATCGACTTACTGAGAGAGCCTCCAAAACCGGCGATAGTCTGAAATTTAATTGCATCGTTGACGAGGATATCCGCACTGCCAATCGGACCTGGGGTGACGAAATTGATAGGGGAAGTAGGAGACAAAGAGCTGAAGAGCTTTAAACGATCCCATGTTGTTTGCCACTATCAGATCAGAAGTACGTATGTGCAGCGAAAAAAAATTGAGGAGCGACACTCACAATATCCCAAATTTGCTGAGAAGCCGCGGAGCCAGCTAAGGCAAGAGATACGAGGATGGGATAAGTCTGCATGAGGCGATTGATAGAAAGGAAGCCCGCACCTAAAGCTTTTATATTTTGGTTGGATTGTTTTTTGGCGCGTTGAAAAGGCATTGCATACACACAGGGTCATCATGCGGATAGCACCAGGTGCAATACCATATAGTGACCTCCCCCAGCAGCAATTAATGGCATCATTGGTGAATGAGTAATGACGGTTGATCAACCCACCCACCGTTGTTGTGACGCCGGTCGTATTCCATTGTCCATCCGGATTTGCGTCCCTTACGCGAATCTATAAGTCGACCTTTGAGAAGTATGGTGAGGCGTTAAAATTACGTGAGAGCTGTAATTGATGTTTTACGAACCGCGATCCATCGGTTAAGAACATGTCGTCTACCAGAGTGTCCCCGTTGATGATACTGATATGTAGAGCTTAATAAATCTCCTTTATGTCGAACTTGCCATCGGTAGGATGGTGGCTTGAGAACTTCAACGTAGGAACACGGGTTCAATGAGGGAGAAGAATGAACGACGAAGAAAACTCCAATATCCGATGCTGGAAGCTCACCTGCTCATCATCTAGAAAGTTTACCGGGGGTACCTGATGGCCCAATTCGATCAGGTGCCACAAACTTTTCAGTCAAAGGGAACGGACCTAAGTTGACGGGCTCAAGCTAGAGAAAGCGTAATTGGAGTTCCTCGGTCAGGAACCCACTCGGCGACACTGTTTGTTCAGAATGGGCGCGCAGCATACTTTTGATTACTGGCTGCCGCCTCCAACTGGATTCTCCTGGAATGGTTGTTCTTCGAGATCTTCAGAGTTCTTGACAGAGAGATGCCATAATAGGTGAAATTTGCGTTATCGGAATCCAAGTAGACCGTTAGGTAGTTTCATATATTCGTTCGTGAAGAGAACCCAGAGAGAAATATATTCGTTCGTGAAGAGAACCCAGAGAGAAGCAACACGCCGGAGAAACCCGTACATAGTTACAATCGGCGTTATCGGATCACTTCTCGAATTTGTTACGATTTTGCTTTGCACCCAAGTTTGCACCTCGTGTGTTAACTTTTCAAATGATTCTACATATAGTAATTATGTACAATAAGAATGGATGAGAGGTGCAGTGAAGATGAATAATGTAACTTAATACATATCTACATATTGTGATGCCGATGAAACAAGAAAGAGGAAACAATAATTGCGACGAAGTTGAAGAGTAAGAAAAAAACGGCAGAGAGGGTGGAAGAAAGAGAACAAATACTTGTTCACCCAGGACAACAGCAGCTATCACGATCGTCTTCCAATGTGGCGATCTTCCTCATGGTTCACCTCTATCCGATCCCAATCGTCCGAGCTAAAGTAGAGATCAGAATGGTTGAGCTGAAGTTGATGTGCCTCCCAACCAGGGGCTTCGTATGCTGGGGTTGGTGCTGACGCCATCGCGTTAGCGGCTGATGAAGTTTGTGATTGCCAAATTTCGTCATACTTATAACCGCCAGCCCAGCCGGACAAGGTGGAGAGTGACGAAGTGGGGAGTGGTGCGGATTGGGAGGTGTAGAAGTAATTCGAGGGGTCTGTCGACACAGGTGGCGGGAGAGGCGTCAAGAGAGGGACGTCGATCTCGGAATGCGTATGAGGGTCATGTACGACGGTGACGAGGCCTTGATGATTGGGGTTTGTTGACCAGGTGACGAGCTCTCTGCCGTCATTTGGGGGTTCGAAAGACGCACCGTATTGCTGAGTGAACATAATTCAAGGTCAGCTGTCCCGACAGAACCTTCATACCCCATCCCATCAGACGTGAAGACCATCGGCCGCTCACAGCTCAAGTCAGCGATCTGGTCTTCCAAACCCGACGACGGCCACCGATACTCGCCCTCTTGGGATAACTCACTCCTTCAACGCGCTTCTTCATCCTCCCACTGGAGATGTCGAGGATGTAAAGGGAGTGCAGAGGAGCGGGAGTGAGGCGGCGGTATCTCCTGTGGTTGTATTTTGAGAGTGGGGATGACGACGCAATGATGGTGTGTCTGGTGTACCAATCCTGCTGGCTTCCCAGTCTCCTGGCGACGCGGCGTCAGACGGGAGACTGAGGGTAGATTCAGGGAGTGTTAAGCGCAGGTTACTTGACGGAAGGGAGAGTGTGTGTTTGAACAGGTGGGTTAGCGGTGAATATACTTACCATCCTGTCAGATTCTAGATCACTAGGGAAAGCATGACAGTTTTCATGCCACGATGGCGATTCAGAGTCAACTCTCTTGTGTCATTTTTACGATGCTAGATGTGGTGTTTTACTTCCACCTCTTTGATTAGAATCTAAAAGACATATATCATACGCCAATCTCCTCAATTGTTGCCATTTAGTATTATCCACCATCAACGTCATCATCGTCACCAGTCCGAGTATGTTTTTCTATAACAACCCAGAATATAACGTTCTTCTGTAAAAAAAAGTACCCAAAATGCACGCCCTGCATTCCCAGACAATGTCCCAGCAACAGAAAATAGTCAATCCGACAGCATGAGATTGAGAACAAAGCCTCGGGGTAACATACAAAATACCGAAAGTAAAAAAAATTGTACAACGATGACGATTTTACGCATTGTAAGTAAATGATTCATAGTGGTAGTCGGGATAAAAGAACGAAATTAGTGATGGTTGTGTAACATAACGACGGAAAGTCCAACGAAAGAGGATAAGCATAGAAAAATCGAAAAAGGGTAACATACAAAGTTCAAAGAGCGGCCAACACTTTTTTCACCCTACGCCTTGCCCAGAACGGCATCCAACCTCTCTTCCAACCCCATGCCAATCCCCTGCCTCTCCCACTCCCCATCAACCTTATCCAACAACGCAATACTATCCCTCTTTCCAGGATGCGTCACCCCACCCCTCATACTCGACCGCTCACTCATCAGTCCACCCCCAGAAACGATGCCCAGCCCACTAACACCAGGTATATGCAGGGGCGGCTCCGAAGTCGACGCTGAGGTAGTGAGCGACAAAAGGGGGAGAGTAGACATCGGAGTGGAAGAGAGCAAATCCGAATACGACATGAACGAAAGCCGTTTCTTTGCTGCGTGAGTCAGAGACGGGGGATCAGATGACGGTAAAAGAGGAGAGAAGCCCGCATTTGGGCTATTCGTGTTGGAAGAAGGGTGGGTATTTTGTTAGAACGGTGCGTTTGGCTCTGGAAGCGAAGCAAGCGGGTGTTCTTGCGCCGTCGTCATAGTAGGGGAAGACGAAAATGAAGAGCTACCCATCGACGACGTAGTCGAGAGATACGCAGTGGACGTGATGAGGGAAGGGGTCGAAGGCACAGTCGCCGTCGCCGTATCCATCTGTGTCTGGATCGTAGGCCTGATCGCTGGTTGGGTGAATGTGGGGCGACGACGGGGATGGTGGTAGGTGGTGCATGTGGGCTCAGAAGGAGGCTATGGACCGAGAGGCAGGGACCGCTTCAGATACTTGTTCCTAGGCATGCGAGTCGTCCAGAACGGAGGGAACGGCGTTACGGACTCCTCCAATTGTCCAGTCAACTTGCGCGGGATACTCTGTGGGGGTTGGGCAGGTGATGGGGAAGTGTGGGCGGATATCTAGAGGGAATAACGGGAAGTTCAATGTTCAAATGGTCGATGAAGACAAGCGTCTTTGGTCATCGTGTCAGATCGGGGTACACATGAAGGCAAGAGAAGACACGTACACTGAAATAGGCGATGAAGGGATTGAGTTGGGCGAACGTGATCCGAGTCGGGGTTCGTTTGTGCGTAGGCCTCTTTGTAGGTAAGCCGAGGTAGATGCCAGAAAAGTGGTGGGATATTGGTTGTGGTGGTTGATATGAAGGATGTGTAACGTGACTCTGTTGACCAACATTCTACATCGTCACAACATCTCTGACTTCAACCACATCTCCGACCCCAACCACCAGTGTTTTTTTTTGTTTCGGCTTACCCAGAAAGGTCACAACATCTGCTACTTCAACCACCCTTTCAATAACCGCAATTCAAGGTTTGTTTTCGTTAGGGTAACAACCATCAGGCCTCGGAGTCACTATACACCCATGGCGTATGTGTCCGAGTCTACGCATAATCATTGAGCCCTTATCTGACCCAATTGGCAGGGCAAGTTGTTCAGCTTGCGACTACACCATTCGAGGCAGCAGGGCCTATGAGATGCATGTCAAGTACAATCACTGTCAAACTGCGATAGTTATTTCAAAAAGTGAGTGTTCCAACCAGCTGCCCCATCTCCAAACAATCAGCTTTTTTCTTTTTTCTTATAGAAGCAGATGCTGGCACTGAGATCGGTCGATCGGTCAGGCCCGCAATAAATCAGGAGATATTTTGCATTTTCAAGTGTGACTGTGACTATTCAGCAGTCTCCTGGAGGCAAGTTGAGGGGCATCTTGGCAAGAAACACTCTATGTCCCAAGCCGATTTCTCTACCAAATATGAACTTTTCCCACCCGCCGCTGGGTAATGTGTCAGTGTAGTTGTTAGGAGGAAGAGAACATGTATGCACACAGCAGCTTCTATAAATGAATTAACGTCGATTTGGGACAGTACGAGCCACCCGTCTCGGGATATAAACAGTTTCCTTGAACTGGGCCCAGCGTTAAAAGGGTCAGAAGGCATTGAAAAAGGTGATCATACTCTAGTGTGAATATTGCGTGAATAGCCAATAAAGATTTCGTCACTTTCTCTCACACGCTCTCCAATGTATATCGAGGATTCTCTCAGATACCCACATCCTCAGCATGCAATTGATCGTCCTGCCAGTATAAGGTGAAGGTAACGTTTAGTGGCTGCGTACAAGCTCATCGGGCGCGCCTGAGTATACAGCTCACAGAGGAAAAGCAAGGGCGGCCAATGTACGGCGTTACCTGGTTCTACCATATGATCAGTTGACTAAATTTTGGACACGTACAAGGACGTACCCAGAAGAATGGTGCTATTCTCCTCTTTACCAAGAGGGGAACGCCTTACGGAGTCGCAATATATCTCACGTACCAGTCCTCCTCCCGTTAGCGCCAACACCGTACCCAAAATCTGTTGTCGAGAAGAAGACCAGATGGCCGTCAAGTCCAAAAGAAGGCGACCAGTTCTTTCCGTGCATCCGGATTTGATCGGGTTGATGTGGTCAAAGAATCAATGTGGGTGGGCAGAACATATTCAGGCGGGTAAGCGTTTTGAAGTCAAGTTTCGGTAGGGGTGGTGGGTTGTTGAAACAGGAAATAAGAGGCATGCGAGGCCTGGGTTCATCATCGTCCGAATCCGAATGATACTCGAAGTGGGCTACTTTGGGGATGTGTTCTCTCAGAGGATCAAAGACGGAGACGGGGGAGGGCGTTTAAGGTGGCTGCAAGAAAGTGGAGATACATTGACAGACAGCGGCCGCCAAGTTTCGAGTAGTGGGGGGCAATAAACATGTGTAGGTTTGTCACGAGGTGAACTTTGTCTTCTGTATTCACGGAACTGATTATGGCGGCGCTATTTTGCTCTAGGACGTACAGAGCCGAGAATGGGATGCAGGATATGAAATGAGATAGTGAGTCAAGTGGGATCCCGTTTGGGAGAAGTGGAAAATGTGGGTAAATATGGGGCTGATGCATGGGAGGGCGAGGTGAAAGCGGTGAGTGGCGCCGCGACGAGACAAAAGAGGCTAGGGGATATCTTGGATTGTGTAGGCTAGATACAAACATCAGACCCGTAAAACCGAATGTGAAAAGTAACCTGCGTCTGTCAGATAACCTGGGATATTAATGTGTAGAGGTTGCGTTCCAAGAGGTAAGTGGTTATGACTGCACATGCCTGCACGCCTGGTGGCCCTAACACAACCCTAACACGCGCTTCATGGATTCGCAGGAAAGAAGTTGGTTGAGGACTTGAGCGTGTATAAAAAATTCCAATAGTTATAATATATAATAGACGCACATCAAGAATATTTTGCGAGACGGTAGCGGTGATGGTGGAGTGTAAGGTCAGCGCGGAAACCCTGTACATAAGAGAATGACGCGATCACGTATCCACGTGATCTTCGTTCAAAGTTTCGAAAGAGCTGATTCCGATCCGATCTCGCCAACATGTGAGAGTCATTCATCGGAATTGACACCGCAGCACTCATCTTGCACCAATGTTTGTGGGGTCTGTCCAGTCGCCTTCCTCTGGAACATTCTCGGTTCCGTGATCGAACTTTTCACCGGCGTTGGGACAATTCGTCGATGGGGATGTTCGTCCAAGGCTTCTGGTTCGGCTCCAAGCTCGTCAGGGGGAATAAGATTTCCGCTGGGGACGTGATGGCGGTCTTCTGGGCGTGTCTTATCGCAACGAGCAACATGCAGATGTGCTTTCCCCAATTCATCATTCTTGCCAAAGGGAAATTCTCAACGGTCTCCCTCATCTCCCTTGCTACATCCACACCGCAGTCCAGAAACCTCCGCGTACTCAAGAAGATCACACCACCTCGGTGTTCTGGCGAACTGGCACTCCACAACGTCACCTTTGCGTACCCATCACGTCCCACCATTCCCGTCCTCTCCAACGTCTCCATCTTCCTCCCCACGAACGAAATCACGTTCATCCGTCGCTCAGCTCCTTTTGAGGATGTACAACCCTCAGATTGGACACATCACCATCGACGAGCAAGACGTCCGGTTCCTCGACGACGGGCGGATGAAAGCCCATGTTGCTGGGGTGAGCCAGAGCGGAGTTGTCATCCTTGACGGGAAGAGCGTATTCGAGAACCTAGCTGCTGGCGTGTTTGGTCGACGGGTACACGCTGTGGCGAAGGAAGAAGTGGAGGATGTGTGTGGTGCGGCGCTGATGCACGAGTGCGTGCGTGATCTGCTGAATGGGTATGATACCCTGCTCGGTGGGGACGCTGCTGGTGTTGGGCTTAGTGGTGGGCAGAAGCAGAGGCTGGCTATTGCCAGAGCTTGGCTAAGGAATCCCTCAGTTCTGATACTTGATATGATTTTCCTTTTCTGTCGACCCTTTCTTTTTTACTAACTCATTTCCTTTCAGATGAGGCGACTTCCGCGCTGGACGCTACTTCGCGCACTCTCGTATTTGAAGCCATCAAGCGGTGGCGTAAGAACAAGACCACCGTTGTCATTACACACGACCTATCTCGAATCACGCCCAACGACTTCGTTTACGTCTAGGGAAGAGGTTGCGAAGGGGTATCACGAGGTGGGCATCCATTCTTTCCTTGTTCTTTATTGTATTGGTGCTCACTGGCGATAAAGACCCTTTCGAACATTCGTGGGATCCGTTGCATGGCCTTTGAAGGCATCTTCCACTCCACTTTGACTTGGCTACCGACAAAGCGCTCACCACGGGCGTTCGTGGTGCTTTTGTCTTGGGTGTACCCATGGCCTCGCCAGTGCACTCATCTACCTGGCTGAAGCAGTTGTGTTCTACGTTGGTGCCATCATCATCGCCCGTGGGACCTACACCTACCTCCAAATGGTTGAAGTCCTCAACCTCGTTGTATTCCCTGTGACTATCGGTTCCCTTCTCATGCCCTTCAGTAAGTCTCTTTCTGTCGAGCATTGTTATGTGCTGACGTCTCTTTCTTTCAGCTGAGAAGGTCGCGAGGTCTGGACAAGCTGCTAGCGACTTCAACCGACTTCTGCAGCTCGACATAACATCCACTGACGAATCCAAGGGCGTCGTCCGCCCTGAACTCGCAGGCAGAATCAACTTCAACAACGTCCATTTCTTCTACGCCGGGCGACCAGCAGTTCTCGTTCTCAGGAACATCAACCTCTCAATCGACGACGGCGAGTGCATCGCAATCGTTGGCCCCTCGGGCTCCGGCAAGTCCACGCTCGCCGCCCTCCTCCAGCGTCTGTACGAACCCACCATTGGCGCCATCACCATCGGCTTGAACAGACTCTGCAATATTGAGGTCAACCACCTCCGTGATCACGTCTCTGTGGTATCACAACACCCTAACCTCTTCGACGCCACCACCGCAGAGAACATCCGGTATGGAAACCAAGCCATCTCGGACTACGACATCCGCCGTGCTGCAAAGGCCGCGCAGGTAGGAGTGGGTCGGGGAGTTGTAATTGTTCGATCTCTGCTGGATTGATCTGCATCTTCATACATCATGGTTTATTATCTTCATTTCCTCACCATTTTTTATTCATCTTCGTTCACACACCTTCGTTATCCCCCCTTGACGTTATCTGCGGCTCATTTGTGATGAACCCGATTGCATTATTCCTTCCTTGGACAAGCTTACCTTACGCATATTACCCCAACTTTCTGACCTCATTTATATGTAACGTACTTACGGATCGTCGGAATATAACGATTTTATGACGTGTACACACTCAATACACACTGGCAGCTTTCGAAGAAGAATCGAAGACTCACTTATCACCCAACAAATCCCACCTCGCCCGCGAGATCAAATCCGCCTTACGCGCCGGAGCGTATACTAGTTCCGCGCCCCCTCCCCCTCCTCCTCCTGCAGTCGTTCTCGCTTCTTCGGCACCAAGATCGACAATCCCTTGTGCAGATTCAGCCTCTTCACCAAGATCAACGACCGCTTGTCCGGGTCGAGGTGGACGTTCGAGCACTTGAGCAAGTACGTTGAAACTCCGATGGCCTGTCTTCCGGTTATCTGAGGCAAACACGTCCAAATGTGCACGTTCAGAAAGAATGACATCATTGGGATGCGTTCCGGCTATCCCTCTCGAACGATTGACGTCATCCGCACACATTCCGGCTACTTCAACGCCTTCAATTTTTTACGCGCCCCAACTTCATTTTTGGACTCTTCTCAAGCTTGAGATCTCGGTATTTTTTGATGACGTTCGATCATCTCGTCTGAAAAAAGAGGCCGGATATGATTTGGCGCAAATTCGGCCAAGTTGCTCCCAATTGCAAGCACTCCCAAGTGACGCCGATTCAACTGTGCTCGCTCAATTATTATGATGTTTGGCTACTACATACATGTAGACTACAGTATCTACAGAAGTGGCCTTTCTTGACATAAGACCAATGTGGGGTTTGGGAGAAAAAACACCTCTGTCACCTCCAGAGACAACCGGAAATCTTATTCCCCTTTTTTCTCTTGATCACGAAGAATTGACGCTTGCTGAATTGATTTCAACAACATAACCTTAGCCTTCTTCGCTTCCTCCACTTCTTCCGGATCTGATAAGTGATGAACATCCCGCTTTTTCCTCATTGAGAACTTGGCATCCTTCTCCGTGGGAATGCCGACCTTGGGAGAATCATGTCAGCACAATACAATCCAGAGACTTTCCAACATGTTTGTCTGGAACAGAATCGACGTACCATTGCAGTGTTGAACTCCTCAACACTAAGATCCTCGCCCTTGCTTGTAGCGAGGGTGGCGTCATGCAAGCCTGATTTCTATGAAGTAATGAATCAACAATGTTCCCTTTGAATGCAGGAAGCCTGACCTTCGGGGGCGTGGAAGAAGACAACATTTTGAAGGATTCGGCAGGGAGGGGTGTTTTCTATAGAGAGTTGGTCAGTAATCGATATGCACATAAGCCAATGGGAAGCACCTGCCTCATCATCTTCGCTGTCCAAGATCTCAATGATGTCCATCGTGTTGCTTGTCTCCACGATCTTCTTGGAAGATGTTTCCGCGGACAAACCCTGCACGAAACGAATTACAACACAATTGAGTTAGTTGAAAAATGCGAACTCACCTGTGCTTCAACCTCCCGTCCCCTCTCAATTCTCTGAGATCTCTCTAATTCTAGTCTGAGCTTCATATTCTCATCCTTCAGCGCCCTGATCATTTTCTCTGCATCGGCACGACGGTGAATCTCCGTTACCAACTCTTCCCTCAACTTCTCTTTGCTCGTGCGTTCCTGTTCGGCATCCTCAAAAAACCTCTCCCGCTCGAGCCGTAGCTGATAAATCTCAAGAGATTCTTCCATAAGTAGCAGGGGGTGAGGGCAGAGAACAAGTCGAACCTGTTTGGCGACAGCCTGCAAGTTAGTTCTCACACTTGTCAAACTTCGACTTGACCATGATGACGCTGGGGTCGCAGTATATGTATTGAAAAATGGTGTTGTTGCCAAACAACGCCAATGATCGCCGCGCCAGTGACCTGACGGTACAAGCAAGTACCAAGATGCGTTCACGTTCGTCTACAACTTGAACTTCGTGTAGTCACAATGGAATCCAAGCCGCCCTCTAGCAATGACCTAGGATTTACTCTTCCTCCGAGCAACGGTCACATTTCTCACAAGCGACGGATTGCCAGTTGGCCATTCGGAATTCCTCTTGATCACAGGCTGTGTTTGGCTCTTGTTCAAGACATACCCTTTCCTCTCCTCATCAGTATGTTCTCTCCGTTATACACGGTATGTCAAATTCAAGGAAATTCCTACGTAGCGAGAACACGACTGACCCATACCGCCCAATGTCCAAATTGACCGTTGCGCCGAATTGCATCACAATCCAAGTAATACTGCCGAAGACCCAGCTCCGTACTCTATCCCGGTAACCTTCACCCTCCCACTCCCTTCCAAAGCGCTTTTCTTCGTCTCCCGAGGGACGCTTTCGAATGGCATCATCAACATCGTCCAACCCCATAAAGCCGCCGGTTCAGAGGACGTGGTTGTCGACGTCGACGTGAACTATTGGGAAGAACCGCTCTTGGACAACCTTAGAGTCTGTCAGATTACGAGGGACGATGGAGGCGTTGGCGTTGGTATATTCGTGAGTCCTTTGTTTCCCTCGTCGATTTCGATCGGTCGTTTACTATGAAATATAAAAGTCAGATTGGGCAGGACGTCCCGGGAGCCACAAAGTCGAATTCGAAGTCACCATAACCCTTCCTTGCGTCCCAAACGACGCCATCCTATACATCGACTCTCTCGAAACGGACATGCCTTTGTTCGAGCATTGGATTGGGGAGCTCGGTGATGTTTACTTTAAGTCGATCGTATTGGGGACGGAGTATAGGGGTGTTGACGTAGCTGTGGGTTGTTTCATTTTGCGCTTTAACACAGCTGACCAACCAACGAAAGTCACTAAATGCGGCAAATGTAGAGATCAAGAACTCTCATAGCCCGATTCAGGGCGTCATCAACGCTTCGAGATCGTTATCACTCGTTACTTCTAACACGCTTATCAATGTTCATATGAAGAACCTCCTGCATCTTGGCGAAGATCGATACCTCACCACGTTGCTCTTCAAGCACTTCCCGCTCTTCAAAACCCAGTTTATCCGGGATGCCCATGCGTACACCGTGGCTCCTGATGACTGGAAGGTTTTGCTGTCTCAACGTCGCCGCTGGATCAACTCGACCGCTCACAACCTCAGGGAACTCATCTTCTTGGAGCAGCTTTGTGGTTTCTGCTGCTTCTCGATGTGTTTCATTGTTATGATTGATTTGGTTTCGACGCTCATGCAGCCTGTCGCTGTCGCATATGTAAGTTTTGCCCTTTCATTTGATCAGGCATCTAATTACCTCCCAAGATGGCGTACTTGATCGGACTGGTGGCCGGTGGGGGCAAATCCATCCCCGCTCTATCGCTCATCACGATCGCCGCGATATACGGCATTCAAGCCCTGGCTTTCACCATGCGACGGAAGTGGGACATGATTGGATGGATGTTGTTCTACACACCTGCCATTCCCGCCTTCTCCTCCTTCTTGCCTGTATACTCGCTCTGGAGGATGGACGATTTCTCTTGGGGTCAAACACGTGTTGTCCTTGGTGAATCTGGCAAGAAGACGATCGCTCACGTAGGCTTTCATCTCTCTTTTTGAGAGTACACGATGCTAACTCCGTTATCAACTAGGACGAAGGGAAGCTCGATCCTCGGTCTATTCCTCTCAAATTGCGGAATGACTGCGTGAGTTTTGGCTGCAATCTTCTTTCTTTGTTCGCTAACGCCCTTCATCAGGAGAATGAATCCTGGGACAAGGAATCGAATCACAGTATCAGATCCTGGGTCCCTCAAACCAAACCAAAGGAAGCTTACGCAGATTCGCGCACTGCTTCGTTATACGGCCGAGAAACCTACTACGAGCCTCAAAGACGCAGCTTCCAGCCCCATCCCAGCTCGGCATGTGCACACCTCCAGGATACCAGGTCCCTCTGACACCAAAACGTCGTGATAAATAGTTTCATGTTAAGACTATAGCTATAGAAGCAAGCATATGTGGTCCGCTACCGTCTGTCACATCATGATCCTGTAACCCCATCGTCGACTAATCAAATGGAACGGGCCTCACACCCGGCACCCCCCGCCTCGCCCAACTTGAACCCATGCTTCTTCTCCGCCTCCGACCTAGCCGCAGCAAACACAGACCGGGGATCCCGCAGCAGTCACCCCAGCCAACGTCCTTCTGGCCAGCCTCTCCAAGGTCGTCATGTACGTGCACGTGGTCCCCATGCACTGTCTGTGATATCACGGGTTTCGAGGGTGTGGAAAGCGTGGATGGAAGAGACGTAGCAGGCGGAGGCGGTAGAGGCCCGTCGTAAGGGAGTAGCGAGCCGAAGAGGAAGTGTTGGATTGCTGGGAGCTTGTTGAGAACTTCGGCAAGGTACATTTTGAGCATGCCTCAGTTGACTCTGTCCCATGTTTTTACCTGCGAAATGAAGGAGAAATGACCAGGAGGAAAAGGGGTGAAAGGAGGAAGGAGGCGCACGGCTGATATGTCGTTGAGCATGGGGGAATGCCATCGGAGGGAGGCTGTCTTTATCTGTGTGAGTGAGAGTGTGTCGATGTCAACAGCGCTCAATGAAGAGGGGGGAAAGACGCGCCGAGTTAGTGAAAGCGATACAAGCGAAATACATGTGGTCGTTTAAGTATTCCACCCCTATCTCGGGGTCGTGTATCGCCTTGGGACGGATGTACTTATGCCCTGAGCCACGGATCAGCTTTGGGGTTCGAAAGAGTGCGATGGCGTTGCCCAGCTCGTAGTTGAGCGAAACCAAAGAGAAACGGGGGAGAGTGGCAGTCGTCCAGCCCCCAGACGCCATGCGATCCGGTTGGTTCTAGCCAGTAGGTCAATTGGAGTATCCGCATGATATTTATGTATCTGCTAACGGGTCAGTCTGGTTGTGACTGAAAGATGAGAAAGGGTTACCTCCAGAATAAACGAATAACGATTGCTTTATGGTCCGTTTCTTGTAAGACCTATAGCCGTTCTAGACATAAGCTAAGTATACGACGCGTTGAGCTACAGCCAGCACAGGAAATTGAGTTCCATTCCACTCCCGTAATCGATGCGCGTGCGATTGCCCCATGCCTCGCTGAAATAAACCGACAGTTCCTCGATAGCCTCACTTGGCAAACCAGGAAGCAATGCGTGTAACTCCGGTGAGATCTATGAACGATGGTTAGCGAGTACTTCAATCTAACTCCAGGATACACAAACGCACCTCGGAGACACGATCATAAAATGTCCGAAAAGCCGGATTCCCAAACCTCGACGCGGAGTTCTCCACAGGAGGCGTATCCCTCGCCACTCGCTCAACACTGTCCAAGAGGACGAGAACAGCAGCTGCACCCGTAGACAACGAACATTCGTCGGTGAGCCTGATGCCGACGACTGCGTCGTTGAGGACCTCGATATATGAGACGAGCTCTTGGTGTGTCTTCGAGGTTTGGAAGCACTCGAGTTGTTCCTTCGTTAGAATCGCTTTGCGCGGAACTTGGAATGCCATATTATCAGAAATTCGAGTTGGTGCGGAGATGAGAATAGTCTTATTATCAAATCAATGCTCAAAACCCTAACCCTAACTTTCAAGCTTCGCAAAACTCTCCTTCATCCTTGCTACATCCCTAAATAATGCTACACACACAGTTTGATTGGACATACGAATGGGAGATGAAGGAAGCGATCCCTACATTGCCAATTGATGCTATCGGCCAAAGATAGTTGACCCTCCTGCGGTTCATCAGCAAAACCTGGGTGAGCTAGGCAGCACGTGGCAGGGCTGTGTAGTGCCATAGCACCATAGAAAGGGGTATCACCTTTACAGTCACCTGCGCGTTCTATGCAGCTCTACATAGAAACGCACAGCCACTACACAGCACTCCCTAGAATCTCAGAGCAGATCTGCAGCCATTCATAGAAACACATAGCCACTTCATAGTGCTCCCTAGAATTACGGAGCAGATCTGCAGCCCTCAGTAGCAACCCCTGGGGTCTGCAGATTCCTAGAGGGGGGGCATACATTCTGCTCATTTTAATACCATATTGCATGATTTTTACACAGAACTTGTGTTACGAAAAAATAAGTTTATTGTCTGCACTACTACATTATACAAGATATCCTAATATTCTACATAGTAATGACTGCAGTATATCAAATTTATGGAATAAGAGACCGTCCATCTTTCATCAACAGAGGGAGGATGCCATTCACCAACAAGGAAGGGAGGACGGTTGTTCGTCAAGGGACGGAGCCGTTCTTCAAAGGAGGGAGGACGCCATTCGTCGACAAGGGAGGAGGACGCCGTTCTTCAAGGGAGGGAGCCGTTCATCAATGAGGTAGGGAGGACACCGTTCGTCGACAACAGAGGGAAGATGCATTTGTCGACAAGCGAGGGAAGACGCCGTTCTTCAAGGCAGGGGGAATACCATTTATCAACGAGAGAGGGAGGACGCCGTTCGTCAACGAGGGAGGGAGGACACCATTCGTCGAGGGAGAAACACCGTCAGTCAAGAAGGGACGGAGGATGCCGTTCGTCGACGAGTGAGGGAGCAGTTCATCAAGGGAGGACACTGTTCATCGGGGGAGCCGTTTGTCGAGGGAGGGGGCCATTTGTCAAGAGGGAGCCTTTCGTCAAGGGAGGGAGCCATTTGCCGAGAGAGGGAGCCATTCGTTGAGGGAGGAGTCGTTTGTCGACGAGGGAGCCGTTCGTCAATGAGGGAGGGATCTTTTCTTTAAGGGAGGAAGCCATTCTTCACGGGAGCGAGCTGTTCTTCAAGGGAGGCAGGGAGCCATTCTTCAAGGGGGGGAGGAAGCCATTCTTCAAGAGAGGGAGGATGCCGTTCTTCAAGGGAGGGAGGACGCCGATCATGGACGAGGGAGGACACCGTTCGTCGAGGGACGCGGTTCGTCAACGAGGGAGGGAGGATGCTGTAACTCGACGAGGGAGGACACCGTTTGTCGAGGACAAGTTAAACATTGTGGTGGGAAGGAAGAACAATGAATTTCCGTGTTGGGAAATTCAAGAGTTCAACATAATCACATGATGTCGGAGTTTCAACGGACTTAAACGAATTGTCTCGCAACTTGAAGTTGTTTGTCGCCTGTCACTGTCTTTCACAGAAAGCATGGCATTCGAGGTGGGCATACACAATTGTAGATGGCACCATGTAATCAAGCAAATATAAAGTTCATATTGGAAAATTATTGAACAATTTCCGAGCCTTCCAAGAAATTTGCAGTTGTTACCAGAAATTTCCTGGCTATTTCCATGATTTCCCGAAATTTCCTGTTTTTTGGTAGTAGTAGTAACAATTGAAGTTGTCTAAGTTCGAAAATGTGAGTTGAGCGTGGCACGTGACTTCCCGCAACCGTACCGACTTCCATCAATTCACACTTACACTTTCTAGGTAGCTCATAGCTATAACTTCACGAGTATCACACCGTTTGGCCTCTATGTAGGCTTATTTTAATCGCTTTATTCACGCGAATGCAATCCAATTTACGGCGTAGAAAAATTTGGAGTACCTCACAAATTGTAGCATAAACTATTTGGCCTGTATTAGACATCTGAAATATATATTATCATCATGAGTTCTGCTCCGTTTCATGCGATTTTGGGCTTGTCAGAAACGCACAAATTAGAGCTTTAAAACGGGTCTAAGAGCCCCTAATATTTCGACGTTTAAGGCGACCTCCGATAACATTTACCATTTTTACGCAGATTCTTCACCAGTAATTGGTCCAAAGCCATTTGAGTTTTGAACTAAATACTACGTAAATAGATGCGTTGGAATCGGCTTGAACACCACTTTCCAACGCAAAAAAAATCACAAAAGACGAATATGTTTTGCAAAAGATACTTCATATTCTTTCTTGTTGCAATCTTTGTAGGTCAATCAATCTCTGGACAGTGTTGTACTTTCTTCTTATTCCAGGCGTATTTTGGTCATAAATTATTCATATACAATAGGGAATGTGTTTTCTACTGAAATCTAGTATACTTGTAGTTTGACTCCCTATAAGGGCTGGGTAGAAAGTGGAGGCCCCTCTATAGCACCCTATAGTAACGGCACAAGTCTCTGTAGTGCTGTATAGCACAAGCTTACACCCACACAGTGCTGTGGAGCGCTGTGGAGCGCTAGGGCATCTAGCCAAACTTGGCGTGTAACTATGGGAAACTATGATGTTAGCGGAAGCACTATGCCTGTCTACGTGGGAAAATCAGGTTTTGCTGATGTTGGACGCGAATCGTCTCTGGCATTGCTCTCCAACGCGTCCAGGAATCTCCCTCGGAGGCTCGGATCCGAACTTGCAGTTGGATCGTAGTAACTGAGCTCCTTCGGCCTGTCGTTTTATGTAAGTATTCTTTTAGTATCGTCCTTTTAAATTTGCATTCAAGTTGTTCATGCGATTGCGTTTTGAAGGTCTGAAAGTCCAGGTTTGATTCCTCCGATAGTTGGGCTCGATGAAGAACAAGAAGAAATTCATTTAGAGCGACAAACAATCGGAGAATCAAGGGCCCAAAAGGATGCACCAGCAAGTCCGCCGAGAGACAACTTGCATTCATGCCGCAATTCGTTGTCGTCCTCTTGTAAAATATGCGCAGTCTCTCGAGCAGACTAGCGTAGTTAAGCGCTTCTATGACCACGTCCCGAAAATTTTTCATTGGCGATTTAGGTTGTTTCCGCCTCGTTAATCTCTCAAGTTTCTGCAGGTGCCAACTTCCTTCAGGCTCTACCCAAGTTCATCATCCGACTATCCCCGTCCGTATCCTATGTTCTCTAGCACTTTTCTTCTCTAGGACTTCAGGATCGTCAATTCGAAAATATCCCATCATACTCGCCATCTGACCACGGCGCCGACCTATGAAACGGTATGAGATTGCGAGACAACCTCGCCGTTAAGTCAGTCATAGTATGAGAAGTCTGATTGGCCATCGATCGCTGTGGTGGGTATAGTAGTACCAAATTTGACTGCAAGCAACTGGAGGAGCCGGTTTAGAGAAATAACAAACAAACGAGAGCATAAAACACACCTCCGTGCAGCCTGTTGAAGCGATGAGTAAAAAAAAATGACAGGGCACGATAGAGACTCACGTCGTTGCCACCACCAACCCAACGAAAGCCGCACCAAAACTGTAAAAATACTCAGTGGAGATCGAGAGGCGAAAGACGAAGAACGCGAACGTATTGTCAAGAACGAAATGGGGTAATTCTGAGATATCTGCTATGGTGCAAGCCGATTTTAAGGAGTGGCTGGATGGCGAGAAACAATTTGGGTCGACCTTTTTCAAGTTAAAAGAAAAAGGGAAAGTTACGACATCAAACACGATGTGTTTGTTGTCAAGTTATGGGAAGAACCCGAAGCTTGAGTCCCATGTACCACGCCACCCAGTGGGAGTTGCGTTGACGTTGTGAATCAGTGATTGTGTAGCACAGAACGTGAACCGTTTTCTTTCACGAAGTCCCGCGTCACAAAAGCGTGACCCTGCCAAAGGTGTTCGTTTGTCCCATGAACCAGCCGTTTCTTGAACGTAGCTTGCGGACACGAGCCAGGAAGTCGTATTATTTGCGCCATGTTTGGGGAAGAGTGGCGTGTTTGTGATTCATGATCAAAGTTGACCGGGACCTCATATAGTTTGTGCTCTTTCCGAATTGAATCCAAGCTTCTTGGGTCAAAGTTAGGTGGTAAAATTAACGTGTTGTTTGCGTGCTGTAATTATTTCAGCTCGAAAGCCTGTTTACAAGTAGTAATGTGTTGATGTGGAAGCTCCCAGTACAACAAAGACAAACACTGAGTTCCGAAGTTAACGTTTGTACTTGACCCTGTGACGCGCGACCATGAGTCAGGGGGCTTGGAGATGCCTGGTAAAGCTTGACGCAACCGCTTTCCGTCAGTCTTCGAGGGCTTGGAGATGCCTGGTAAAGCTTGGCGCAACCGCTCTCTGTCAGTCCTCGAGGCTGTTGCAAACTCCGACTCGCGCTAACAGCTCTCGAGCCGTCGAGTGACCAATTTCCTGGCTCACGAACTAATTCTATGGGTACCACTTCCAACCTGCGCCTACCAACTTTCATGATACTGGCATCCAAAGCCCCTTTGCCACCTTGCATCATCTTCATCAGCTACCCCGTGTCTGCCTCCCCGCAAGATACAGTGCCTACCAATGCAAATACGCCGACGACGACCAGGACTGTGAGTTCAAACCTGCAGCTGTCGACGTTGTTGACGGAGACATATACGGAGAACAAGGCGTTGAAGAAGAAATTGACGAATACGAGGAAACACGCGGAAAAGGCTGAGCGGCTGTTGCAAACGCTAACGGATGCGTCGTCGTCGTCGCCCTCGTCCGAATCGTCGGCGAAGTGCGTTATTATCGAGTATGAGGATCGAGTACAGAGGGCGGAAATAGCAAGGGACGAAGCGGAGTCAAGGAGAAGGGCCGTCTTGGAGAATTGCACACAACTCGATCGTTGGCTGCAGGTGGGTGACTTGCGTAATCAGGAAGCGAGAGAGGCGTTTGGGAGGATTGTTAGTGAGGGAGGCCAGTTGACTTTGGGATTTATTGGTACTCCGTTGCTGGGTACATCCTCCATGGCACCTCCACCACCGCCAACTTCTCAACCACCGAGGAGACATGCTACAAGGACCCCTTTTCCTGCTTTAACACCCCCTACTAGTTCTTCATCAACCACGACAACATCCCGCAGAGCACGCACGCCAAGCTTAGAAAGCAAATACACCCACCCACCATCAAAACGATCCCGCGGGAATGGAGAACCGAGGATGTCTTATTCCGACTTGGTAAGTACCACACCTCGATTTCAATGAGCGCACTTCTCTTACGTCCTCATCCCTCGGCTCAGCATATCCATCTGGAGCAGCATGGATACCCACCCCCTACCCCGTCCGCTCCTAGAATCATCATGTCCCCCGGCGATCACCACAAACCGCACCCACACACCCTCCCTTCGTCACATTCACATCTCCATTGCCATCAACAACACCATCCCCATCATGCGCTTTCGCGTAGACCCCATTCAAGATCTTCAAGTCGCTCTAGCAGCGCTTCGTTGGACGTTGATGAGATGCTCTTTGAAGCCACTACAGCCGACGCCATCAACGGCATCGCTGCGAATCAACAACCACAACAACCACCGCATATGGCGAGTCTTCCTTTACCAACTACAACCGCATCTCAAAATGGGTCCCCGCATCTGTGGAGCCACCACTCACGAAGACACGCCGAGGAGGGGTAGTAGCAGCAGGCGCGTACACGTTTACGAGGGTCAACAAGCACAAGAGGGGGCTGGGTATGTGTATCCGGCTAATCAGTCTGTCCCGAGGAAGGACGTGAGATAGCCGGTGGGACAACCTGGTCCACTTGTTCAGCCGGGTCAGGTTCAGCAGTATCAGACTCATGTCTTTGCTCCGGTCGTTACAGGTGCACCCATGAAGAAGCCAAAGTATTCGGTTAGTGGGAGTAGTATTGGAGGAGGGGGGATTGTGGGTGCGTTGGCTGGGGGGCCTGGTGGACCAGCAGGAGGTAAGTCGCGTGTTCCTTCTGGCCTTTGGATCGTCTTGTCGAGGAACGGACATCGTCTGTCTGCTCTCTTGCATCTGGCAATACCCTCTTCTCGATTTCTGTGTTTCAGGTGACAGTTATCAGAAGCCTTCTTTCCTATGCGATCCGTTTCAACGCTTCAATTTTTTTGCTTTTCTCAGTTTTCTATCATACACCTCTCCTCTCCTCGCCCTTCACTCTGAAGGTTCTTCCCTGTTTCTATTTAACTGATGTCTTTCCCGGCATCTTTTCTCAATTCTTATCTCCGACTTATTCTTTTCTCGTGTTACTTCACACAAATCTTCTTCCTTTTCCATTTCCCCATCCCGTCTCCTTCATCCTTAATGAAAATACTAACTGACTAATTTCCAAGGCCCAATCAACGCACCGATCGTCGCACCGCCCGCCCAAGTCTTCCCAGCCACAAACACCCAAGGCCAGAGGATCTGCAGACAATGCGGTTTCCCAAGACAGTATAAAGACAACAAGTGCGTTGAAAAATGGGGCCCTGGGCTGATGGGTCCTAGGACTGTTTGTGATCAGTAAGTCTCCCTTTTTCTCATCTTTCTACGTCACGTTTTTAACTAACAAAACACCACATCTAGGTGTAAGAAAATGAAACGCGTCGAGAGGCGAGGAACCCTGGAGACGCAACAACAAATGGCGGTCATGCACCAGCAGCCTTCGCGAGGGGGGTCGATGTCACAACTTCCGCTCTCTCAAGGCTCGGATCGATCGATACATAGGACGGATATGGTTCTCACACATCATGGAAGTTTCTTGCAGCCCTCGCAATCCCAATCGCAGATTCTGGGGAGGGAGCCGTTGCCCGCACGCGCAAACCCAGGCTCCACCGCGTTCATCGCACTCGCATCCATCCCATACCTCGCATTTGAGAACCCCCACGGTTACACAAGTAGGTGGTGCAGGTCTGAACCGTAGCCCTCCGCCTTCCATAGCTGCGTTTGAGGAGGACGAAGGGGAGGAGGAGGATGCTGAACATGAACGTGAACAAGAGCATGATGGGGAGGATGGCGATTCAGAGCAGTTGCTGCTTTCGAATGTTGGGAGGGGAGGAAAGGTTGGGAGTAGGAGTCGGGCGGGTGTGAAGAAAAATGGTGCTACTGCCGCTGGAGGGAAGAGCAGCACTGGTGGGAGGAACACGCCTGCGGGTGGGGGGAGGAGCACGCCCGCGCGTGGTGGAGGGAGAAGTACCCCTGTCATAGGAGGAAGAAGCACGCCAGCTGGAAGAAGCACTCCATCAGGAGCGAGAAGGACGACGCCAGCAAACAAAAAATCGCCGTTGGGTGCGGCAATATCACCCACACTTGGGATGGAGGTGGACGAGACGGACGCTGATGCTAATGCGGATGCGGAAGCTGAGGCTGAGGCTGAGGCTGAGATTCTAGGTGCGGTTGAAGCGACTGGTGGTGGGGATCAGGAGTTGGTTGATGCGGATGGGGATGCAGAGGCGGAGCTGTTGGAGGCTGTGGATCCTGCCGAGGTGAATAGCAGCAGCAGCAGTAGCCATGGCGGACCGAGTGGAGGCGGGTGGATGAAGGAGGAAGATGGGGCTTGATATCGAGTTTGGTTGCGTTTTTCTCTTTCTTTTTTTTCCCCCACTCTTTCGTCGTCGTCGTCACTATCATCGCATGCTCCTTGCTATCCGTGATACCCCTCCCACACAAACATTCTATCATCTCATGCACCTACCACACTTGTGCACAAAAAAATCATTTTCGGATGTACATGTATTGTCGTTGGTCTATCATTTCTTTCTAGCCTATGTACTATTACCGAGGAAAAGGGTACGGTAAGCAGGGTATAGTAATTTTAGAGGCCGCTCCTACTACACAAAACAAAAGACGCTATCTGTGTAATTGTGGCCATCCAAGTACGTGTTCCAATCCATAGTGTGGTCGTGAGGATGGCCATGCGAATAGGAGTACTGTAGAGAGGAATGGTGGTTTCCCGGCTGTAAATGCCTATTGTTCATGAAAGGTATTATGAGTTGAGGTTGTTGACTCACAGTATAACTGGGGTTGTCCTCCACCTTGACAGATATACCGGGACATTGGTTTGGATGGTGTTGCGCGTAGTTCGAGAGTGTGTAGTTGTGTTGCTGTGGATGCTGGTCCATGGGGGGGTGTATGGGTGCTTGCATTTGAACAGGCTACAGGGGGGGGGAACAAGAAAAAAATTATCACTAGGATCCAAGGAAATTCTTATCGCCAGCATCGGGACGCGTGGATGGGGAGTAAAACAGTAACAATACTCACCGAGAATGGGGGACTTGAAGTGGCACTCGAACCCGATGGTGTATTTGGCATTTGGAATGCGGGTGCATGCAGGATGAATGATAAGCTTAGCCCAGGACCGTGGTGATTGGCGTTGGAGGGAATATTGCTGTAATGGTTCAAGGCTGCCTGGGGTATTGTCAATGGTGGTGGTCGCGAAAGTGGTTCCGTCATATGGGCTGGAGTTTCACTGGGGCTCTACGCGTCGATAAGTTTGAGCATTGATTAGTGGTAGAAGTGCGACCGTACGATGTATACCCCCTCCACAGCATGGCCCACCATCTTACATCTCTTGTAGTCTCGGTCACAACACCGACCATCTGGGTACGTCGTCAATGGGTCCCGACGCGTGACGGCGGTCGACACTCTGCTTTCTGCGAGGAGCCTCGAGAGTTCCTCGTTTTCTTCTCGGGCCCTCAAGAGATCTGCCTCGAGCTCGCGTATCTTCACTGTGTGAGGTGGAAGGGCGCCGATCTGCTCTGGAGTGTAGCCAAGCTCAGTTTGGAGCTTTGTTACGGTTTGTTCGAGCTGGGCGATGCTGATTAAAACGCAACGACGTCGTGTGGGTGAAAGGAACGGTGCTGACGCTTACCTGGTCAATATATGCCTTTCGCTTTGCTCGTTGTCTGGCTTGTGCTCGAGCATTACGGCTGCGTTCAGGGCGTTCAGAATTTGCCGTGTGGTTGTTAATAGACGACATGATGACCAAATCACGTAAAGTGGAGGAAGGGGATCGGGGTTGGAAAGAGGCGGACCGGAGGCGCGTCGAGTACTTATAATGGCTCAATTTTAGCGTTTTTGGGACCTGTGGTCGATGGGTTTTGCTTCCTAGCTGACCCTGAAGGAGGGCGTGGGCAGACCAATCTGTTGGTTTCCTTCGCTTGTATCAATGATATCTTTGATGTCCTGTGCTGTCTATCGCCATGCAATGAGCCCCCAGTCGGTCCATTAAACTGAATGACGAAGTTAACCATCTATGCTTATTTGGTTGTTAGAACTCACACCATTAGAAGTGGGTTTATGCCCTTTTTGTGCTCCAGATTCGCTCACGGCAATTCGCGGTGGTTGGAGGAACTGTACCTGTGATCGGGGATCAACGTTCAACATCAAAATACTTCCGCAACTACCAAAAGGGGTTTGTCCGGATATGGATGTAATTTATTTGAAACTCCGCAAAACTCACACATCTCCCGCCAACCTCGTAGGTAAATGGCATTGAGAAAAAGCAAACAAAAAAAAAGGTGATTGTTCAGCTTATCTGAGCGACATTGGCAACTTGACCATTTTCTTCTTATTTCCCTCGGATACCACGGGAATTCTCCGTGAATTCAAAGTTGATTCCACCAATCGCACTTTCCCGAACGCTTTTTCAGGTGGGATCGAAGTGAATATCTCACCCTTGATGCTCCCTGACCTCAATTGCCTTCTAAATCAGTTCGGCTGGGTCACAACAGGACCCCCGAAAATCCTGCTAAATGGTAGATACCACTCCGGACAGAATTTTTCAAAATGAGGCACTAGGATAGATACAAACCGGACAGGCTTTCGAAAAAATCAGCAAAATGCTAGATACAGAATCCGGACAGTAGTGTTGCCGAAGTCCGATTTGGTCTGGTTCCGGTTTGGTTTTGCTGGTTTAGGTAATTAATTACAAGCCTGACCAGATTAAACCCCAATTTATGGTCTGGTTTATCCGAAAAACCAGTTTGAACAGGATAAACTATGGTTTACAGCCCAATAAGGAAGTCGGAGTTTTAATAGATCTACTCTACAGGGACAGTCGAGAGAAGCGAGCGAATATAAGCGTTGATATCCTCCGGAACACCATTCTCATCCTCTTCGGATGCCTCAAGGAACAAGATAACTTCTGCACGAGATGTTCCCTTCGAAAAGTCGAGGGATTTTCCAGATTTAAGAGAAAATTTGAGCATTTGCAGCATTTCCATGAGATCCTGATGGATGCGATTGCGACGATCAGTCATTGTCTCTTTTGCTGATGAAAATACACGCTCACACGGCACCGCAGACCCCTGAATAGCGAGGTAATCCAATGTGGCCAAAAACAAAGTTGGATATTGAAGTTGATGTTCCTACGAAAATTTGTCATTTAGCAACTCAAAACACAATAATCATACACATCACCTGCCAATATGTGAGACTGCATGTTCCAGTTGATGAATCATTGAGATATTGTGCAATCTCGGCATCAAGGGACCCAAGAGCGGGGTTGTTGGACCTTGTCAAACCCAAAATGTCATCAGCCGTGCGATGAGCTGTGGAATTTCGGAGAGAACGGCCCCGAATTGCTTGTGATCGGCGTGGTGTATAGTCAGTGGCACACACAGGCCGTTGCGACTCATTGGTGACTTGGAAGTTAGGGCCTGGCTCCCGAGATGATGTTTCTGTTACACCAGTCCGCTTTTCGTAGTAAGGAAGGAGCTACCAAATAAAAATGTCAGCTATACATAAATTTTCGGTTTTATTTCCGTCACTTACTACACGGCGCAAGAGGCTCTTAGCCTCACCATGTTTTTCGAGTGGGATATGCCGAAGCTTCATGGATGGATTTAAAACTAAGTATTCAGGATGTAATCGTGAGATCGTAATGGCAAGCATATTAAACGTACTCATAGAAATAGTATATGCCGGAACGAGCTCGGTGCGGTGGTGATATGCATTGAGCTTCTCAATACCTTCATCGATGATATCCGAAAATGGGTGACCTAAAGAGGCTTGAAGGTCTCTCCATATTTTGACCATCGCGTCGAATGAAGGTATTGCATTGCAAAGTGTCGGTGTTTTTTCAGCAGAGAGTTTTTGCTGGAAAGCATCAGGAACCTAGAGGGTATCTTATGAGAATGGATAAGATTAAATTTCGAAACAACTTGAACTTGCCAGAAGGATCTCTCGCACCATTGCGAGCGCCTCCCACTCCGGATCTGAGAGCTGATATCTCCGCAAATCCTCAAATTCTTGTGAAAGAAAGAAATCTTCAAGAACCTAAACTCGAGTGTTGGGAACTTCGAATAAGCTTTATGGCTATCAGGTACCTTTTCAAGAATTAGTGCCCTTTCGATCATGTATAGCGTTGAAGACCATCGTGTATCAACGTCTCGCAAGAGTTGCAGTTCCAAACTGAGATTCTTAGCAATCTCAGCGAAATGCTGGCGGCGAAGAGAGGAAGCACGGATCTGAGCATAATTTGAGATTAAACAGTGACCTTGAGAAGAGTCATGATATTACTTACTGCGCGAACCAGTGCACGTAGTGTACCAATAGGATCACTATGTGTCGTACCTGCTTCAGCACTCTCATCCTCGACATAATTGGTGTGACTGAGAGCTGCCAAAACTGCTTTACATGCGAGGTTCACAATATGAGGAAAACATCTATATACGTCGAATGTGAAACTAAAAAAAATGCTCTACAACAAAATGGGTTTGTTACCTGATGCGATTTTCCACACGATCGAAGACTATTTGCCGAGCATGCAATTCACGTTCAAGAGATGCCATCAGAGTATCGTTGTTGGTGGCATTGTCCATAGTAACCCACCCGATCTAGCCAGCAAAAATTAAGATTTATTCATGCACAATATGGCAGCGGCACACTTACTTTTGATGTGATTGAAAGGCGGTCGAGGATGTAGAGAACGGCCTGGGCAAGATGTTCACCCGTATGACGACCGGGAACTCGGTGAAAGCCTATCAGCTCCGCGTGCAGCTTCAATTCATATTGAGGCCCATTGGGGGTCTGCGTAATGTTTGTCTCAATCCAATGGGCGGTGACGGCTATGAAAGAAGCAAGATTGGAATCAGACCACATGTCGGTGGTCACGGAAACCTTTCCGAGAGCGCGCTATTGGTAGTATGATGATAAATCAAGTCCCCGCCACAATTGAGATTAGCTGGACTTTATGTACCTTGATCTCGCTTTTGAGGCTTGCCAAATGTTCATCCCAAATCTCCTTAATACGATTCCGAATTGTAGTTCGATGGGGGATGTCAGAATCCTTGAGTTCTTCCCGCAGCAGCATGAAAATCCTACGCAGACGAGGATTCTCAACCACATTCAAAGACTGAAAGACAAAATCATAAGACTGAGTACCGTGCCCCAAATAAATGAATACTTACCTGGTCATCTGCAATAATAAACTCTGTAATAGCGTCGACAAATGCCTTGTAGGAATACTCTGGCATATCAGGTGGCCTGTCACCCGCCCCGGCATTTGACTGGGAAGTGCGCTGGCCTTTTGATGTGCGATACCTAGCTACCGGATCCTGTGCCTTTGCTGCTGTAATCGGAATCTTGAATTCATCACAACTATCAACCCACATGCTGATATGATGCGTAAAGAGATGTGTACGAAGAGTACTTGACCCAGTGTCGAGACTGAATGGAAAGATTTCATGTGTGTTGTCCACGGTATGTTTGTGTCTGCAGTCCAAAGCCCAGTTCAATACGTACTGAGACACCCAATAATGACTTACTGGCAAAAGACACAAAAACACCCAGCGTTCGTCTCTTGGAAAAAGGTCCAGACATCGCGAGCACCTTTCTTCTTCTTTGTCGTGTTTGCACACGCTTGGCCGGTGGTAGCTCCCGCCCTGCTTGTGCTGTGCCGTCCTACCTGAGGCAAGCCATGGGTTCTCTCGGTTGGAGACCCAGCCATTGATGGTGTCGGACTCACATCGGGAAATGATTCTTCGTCTCCTGATGCAGGCGCATCTGGTCGATCAAGGACGTTGTCACTCAGCATGGGATTAGATGCATTGGCGGGGTCTGCCAAGAATGGGTTTGATGGACTATCGGGGATGGGACCAGTGGCATCTGATCCAAGGATTATAATGAGGACAACATAAAAATGTGAAAAGACGTTACCAAAATGTGTTGAGTCTGCACCAACTTCTTCATCAACTGTCGGCAACAATGTTGTGATGGGAGATGCGGGATTGAGGTGTGCTGTAGTACAATGATGAGGGTGTGTGCGCGATGGTCACGGAGTACTTACGTGGATCCGCTTGAGTGACGGCTTCAGGTACGTTGTTCACGGGAGCATCTGCCGATGCTGATATTGAGCCGCCACGACCATGTCGACCGCGTCGAGGAGGGTTGTTCGTCGTGCTTTTACGAGGAGGCATTTTTCTGCAGATACGAAGTCAGGATGTTAGTCTTTTAAGTAAAACACCACATAGAGGCGAAATACATGGTGTGGAGCAATCACCAATGTCGCCGTCCTCTCTGATTACCGTCCTTTAGCGCAATGACGAATGAGTGTCATTTGAGGTAGGGAACATTGACAAATGGATAGCTATCTACCTCATGCTTGTCCATGAGGTCGGTAGAGAATAAATTCAAGGCATTTAGAAAAAGAAGCGGTGAATGGATGGAGAGTGGGTATATTTGCCGAACACTGATAAGAATGTTATAAACAATCAGAGGTGGGACAAGGTATGTAAGTGAAATGAATAGAATGGGCGGTGCGCCGAACACGTTGACTATCGACACACCCTCGTGTAGCCTCTTTCCTCAAGATCACAATGCGCCATCTGTCCTCACTCCACTCCATAACAACCCGGCAACTCTCCTGGGTGGTAGGTTTACGTCCTGATAAGAGAAGCAAGGAGTCAGCACGCCATCAAAGTATTATGAACAATCTTCATACCTCAAACTGGGCTCATCATGAAAAGTAGGGGAGAAGCAGGCAAGAATGAGGCGGGGAGCAGAATACAAGGAAAGAGCGTGCGCCGACAGTGTAGAGCGACGTTGTTGGGGAAAAGTTACCCTTATCGGATTATCTACCAAATTCAGTTTCAAACCATCAGCGTGACCAGTTTGAAACATGCAAAAACCAGTTGATAAGGTGACCAAACCACAGCAGACCGCAGACCAATGGCTTGGTTAGATCAAGTTTATTTTTGGTCTGGTTTGTGGTTTGATCAGAACCGAATCGGACTTCGGCAACACTACCAGACAGGCTTGCGAGAAGAATCAGAGGCTAAATACTAGCCGGACAACTATGGTTGCGTAGCTCAACGGAAAAAAAGTATGTACTTTACGAAGCCTGACGTGTGGTCTCCGGTTCGAACCTTTTGCCGCACAAAAAAATTTGGCCCTGACTTGGGCTAGATACGCAGTTCGGACAACTTTTCGAAAATTTGGTCTAGGCTAGATAAAATCCGGACAGACTTCGCCAAAATTGGTACGGACAAGAATCTGGAAATCGGCAATTTCAGTATCTATCATTTAGCAGGATTTTCGGGGGTCCTGTCACAATGCCTTATCTTTCTTTGTGATTCATCTATCATTGACAGCTCGCCTTGTGCATTCTAAATTTGCTCAACATTCGACCACCAGTGAAATCCTTCCAGTGAGGTTGAAATTTTCTTTCAGAATTTCTGAACACGCCATTCTTTGGCTTAGAATTCTCTCCCTCCCAGAATTAAATGGTATCTTGGATAGTCGTCTTATTGAGTTCCAGTGCCATTTTAAGCATTCTACGTCTTTTATGTGAGTGCCTTTTCCATCCTTCACGGAACTAAAACTGGCACCAGAACTTCATTTCCTGGACCGCCAACTCGACCTCAATCATCAATGGGAGAGACACAACTCTCGGAATATCCCGTTCTGTCTTCACTGATTAAAATAAATCCACTGAGAAGAGAAGTTCATCTCCTGGATCATTGATGTACTCAGAAAAATGGTTAGCCAGGAAAATAACTGTTCTGGCTATGCAGCCAAGAGGCGCCCTATCTATATTATTCTGTTGCTGCCCCCTCCAGCTATAGAATAATATGAGTAGGTTGAGGAATCTGAATCTAGCTCAAAATTCAGATTGGTAAATGGGAACCCCATTTACATTACTCCACCACTGGCCCATCCTGTGTTAGAATAACATAAGGGCCAGTTACTTTGAGCTCGTAAGATGGTGGAATCCCTGTGAAATGACGACAGTGTCCCAAATGGACAAGTTATATGAGAAATTCATCAAGTATTTGAACAGGACCTTCCATCTCACAATCATCCTTCCAGCCTTTGCCATGTGTGCTGGCCCATTATTTGCTCCATACCCTGGCCTGCCCCTCGCCCAGCAGGTAAGATGAAATGCCTTTGCGCGATTGCCTCTGCTAACGATGCACACTTTTAGCACCAATGGATGCACGTCTGTGACTCCTTCACGGGAGAAGCATCTAATCACCCCCCGTCGGTTCTTCTCGACAACCTCTCATTTTTCACTTCAAGACTCTTGGAACACCACTTATCTTCGGGCAGTCAATGAGGAGTGGGAATTAAGACAATGCTCCAAGTATTAGCTCTGGACTCCTGGAATTGCCGAGTGAACATGCACATGAGCACCTTTCCCGCTGTTCCTCAGTTTCCCCAACAGAGTGTTTCAGGATGAACACTGGTTGCAACTTGGACATCGCTTCTGGAATCAAGTCTGTCCCCTTGCGATACCCCATTCATTTTTCTGATTGTTTTCTCTAGGTCAACGAAGATGGTGAGAGTTATTGGATATTTGAAAGTTGAGACGTGAGTTTCCCAGTTGTGTGTATCATCGCATATCGACCGACGTCTTTCAGCCTTCTTGTCCAGCCAATCCCATTGATTCCAAGTACATCATTCAGTTCTTTACTTATGGTCATCCAACTCTCTTGGACATAGGATGTTTTGGGTATGAATAACACTTCTTCTACAGCGCCTGCTCTCGTCCAATGTATCTTGACTTCAGATAGCACTTGACGTGTTTCCTTTGATTTGGTTGGTGCTACTCATCATCTCTCTTCTGAAACTGGGGTTTGCGTGAGTAGATGTCCATCTACCCTTTACTAATTCATCATTTATCGGTGTCACCAGATTTATCCTCATCGTCGTCCTTGCACTTGTGTTCAATATTAGTACCAATGTTATTGGTTTCACCTATGCGTAAGCCCATCTTTTTTATTTCTGCTGCAGTGACTGCAATTCCAAGCAAAAGTGGGCTACGAGTGTTGTTGGATCCCAATGGGCAATGGGACTGGGTGGAATTGGTGGGCAAAGTCTGACTGGTGCAGTCAAGAAAGGAGTAGGAAGAGTATTCGGTTGGAGGGTATCCGCAATAATGTTTTATTGATCCATAGCATTCAATACATAGGCTGAGTACAAAAAGGAAGCAAATACAACAGGGGATGATGAAAGGATGCCACATGATAAAATGAGAAAGTAATGTGTAGGTAGTAGGTCCATGAAAGATGTATTAGTAAACTGCTTCATAAAACACTATTGTGAAGATGCAATGGGAGTGCGTGATTCAGCACGTTGGCGAACGACAGGTTTAAAAAAAGGCAGGGGTTGCTCAGGTCTGACAATGAGGGTGATGGGTGATGATTGGACAGGAGGAAGCATAGTGATTGGGAGCGGCCGGCATTTCAAACAGTGAGGAGGCAGATCAAATGATGTTTGCACAGCAGTAGCTGGTGGAGGAAGGTTTTGAAATGAGGATCTCCAAACAGGAGCAGAAGGAGGCTGTGCGAAGGCCACGACAGGCAAAACGTCAATGGTTGCTCGATTTC